TGCACCTCGTTTTAATCATGTTCCTCATTTTGCATGGGTACCGTATTACTTTATTGTTCCAGCAGGTTGGCATTATGTTGATATTAGTGCCACGCCAAATATTTATTTCTGGTGACAATGTACTAATCAACGTCTACGTCTTATTCCATTCCATATGAACGTTCGAGGGGCTTTATGTTATCACCAAAAATATATTTTTGGTTTAATTGGAGTGTATATGAACCGAGGGTTGGCTTCGTTCAATTTATAGTGGAGTTGATTACTTCTGATGGCTTCACGTGGTAAATGGAGTTTGCTGGCTATTTCTTCTCCAAAAAGGAATAAAGAATTGGAGTCCATTTTGGAGGCATCACACGGCTGGTCAACTTAATCAAAAAAGAAAAGGATTTTAGTTCTGTTGCAAGTGGAAGGTGACTATACTACTTCGTCCAAATCCTACTTTTATGGAGCAAGTATTTCGGTTCAAGAAAACAATCAATAACAACAGGATTATTTCTCTATTTAAGCAAAGCCGAGAGCATCATCAACAACACACACCTCTCAAATCATCATCATTGATATCATTCGTTTTTATTTCTTTTCTTCCTTTTCTTTCATGTATTTTATCATGTTTTTTTTAGTTTAGGCTAGATTGAATAGTTTTTAGTCTATTTTCCTTCATAGAAATAGGTAGTCGTTTATCGTTTTCTACTGAATTCGATTTTTCTTTGTAATAGCGCATTATCGACGCTTTCCGTAACTAGTCAGTGCTACCTATCTCTTTTCTCCTCACTTTAATCAATTCAAGGCTATCACTTTGACTTGTCTCACTTATTCCCTATATCTTTATCTTATTAATATCAAACCGAAGTTAACCCTAAGTTCCTGATTCTAGGTCCGAGACCGATTTTTGAATGCATCTACAGTCGTTCTGATTTGTTTTCATATTCGGGTTATTTTCTATTTTCTTTCCGCAACCCGAGTACAATTATTGTTCAAACAATGACATTCTATCTGATGGTGATCGGACCATAAACCTTTGACTAACTGATGACGTAAGAAATTCCGAAAAACCATGATAGTGAGTCTAATGCCTGAACCTAAATATCATTTGAGTTAACTCTTAAGCACAACTTTCTGTATATGTAATCTTTGTCATTTCTGACAGAGGATTATGAGTTCTCAGTGTTCCATCCTGGATTATATGCGAGTTTCTGCATAATGTAGGTGTCTTCTGTCGTATTTTTATTACAAATCCATCCAAGGTTATTTGTTGCACTAATCAAATTAGCTCAAATTGATCTGGAACTAACTTAAACCAAATAAATTGCGACTGAGTTGGAAATATTTTGTGTTTATGTAGAGGATCACCATTCCACTGATAAAGCAGCATCCATAGTTTCTAAAGAATTTGCTGAAGGAGCTGATAGATATGGAGAAGCAGAGCATTAGTACCAATCAAGAACCTGATCGAGTCCAACAACGGCAAAGTGTGGAAGACATAATGAAACTATACAAGACGAAGAAATTCCAGTTGAAGCACCTAAACAGCTAAACCCCGAAATGCAAACCTCCATTTCTGGTAGATCAACACTAAAGATTTAGAGGGTGACTTGAAGTCATCCTTGTTGTGGAGGGAATTGGCTTTTATGGTTATATCCAGTGACTTATTTGCTTATATCCATTATTCAATGACTGTTACATCTTAGACAATTATCCCTCTGAATCAAATTAAAAGTTCACATTGCAAATTCATAGTCAAGTGTAAGCTTCTGCACATCTGGACTTTACATCGTTTCGGATTGCTGCAATCTCATTGATCCTGTAAATATAGACATTTAGACATGTCAAAGTATATAAGTATTTTGAAGTCCAATCTCAAAACTAATTGGCAATAAGTGAGGTGACCTTTGGCACTTATATACAAAGTCAATTCTCTTCACGCTGGTAATGTGGGACAAGATAATACACCTTAACAAGACATATAAACTTAACTCATTGAGGTCTCAAACAAACACATCAATTCTGGTGAACAGGATGTAATTTAAGTTTGGGGGAAGTCCAATATTTACCAAGAAGATATTGACGACCAAATTCATTTGAAAATAATAACTACAGGAAAAATTAGATATTCAAGAGGAAAGTAAAAAAATACTGAGATTTACATCGAAACCCCATAAATATAATTTAAAGGGAAAAACCATCGAACCAAACAATAAAAATTTTCACTGTATATACTAATACTATTGTGTAGAAAATATTACTATCCTCGTCCCAAAAAAAATAGTCTATTGAGTTTTTAAATTTGTACTAAAAACAGTACAAAACTAAAAAATCATTGTGCACTATTTTTTTTTGAGACGAAGGTAATACAACTATTGAAAATCTTCAAGTGCTAGAATATGATGAAATTCTAGCGAAACTCGAATTTTACCGCTCAATATATTTACCTTACATCATTACGTACGTTGCTCTGTGATTCGGAGCACCAAAATCTGAGACTCCAAAGCTGAAACTTCAAGCTTGAGTAAAAGAAGCTGCACTCTGCACCTTCAAAATAAAATCCTTGACACCGACCAACCAATGCAATTGAATTAAGTGCAAAAGGCCCCATGCAAATTGTTTGGTCCAACAAACTCGTCGCCTTTTCACAATAATCTTTACAATATTTTTCTTAAAATAATGCAAAATCTTTTTAATTTCATGCCAGCAGATTTTTAGCTATTTTCTTCCATTTCCTTAAATGGAGTTGATTGGCATTAATGGCTGGACCCGTCAATTACGCGGTATATCATCTAAAAACCAAGTGCTCTTGAATCCGTCAACGTGATCATTTGCCACAGGCAAGCACAATGCAAAAACCTTTTAATTTATCTATAGATTATATACTACGTTGTTATCTGAAAATTTTCTCCTTTTTAACTTTTACTTCTTCTATCCTTGTTCTTGGAGGAGGAGACGAGGATTGAGTTGCACTTGATTGGGTTAAAAAAAACTATTCAGAGCAGTAGGAGAAGTGACGCGAATCAAGGGCAGTGATGTCAAAGCAATAATGTTTTTATTTTCTAATTTTTCAGGAAACAAATAACTGCTCTTAACCCATATTACTTACATTATAAAATTTTTCACTGCTCTTAACCTAGGAAATAATTCAGGAACAAATTTTTTTACAGTAAACTTTCACTTATAATTTAATAATGTTGGAACAACGAAAATATTTTGATTTAGAAAATTACTAAATAGTCAATAATTTAATCATTTAAAGAGATAAAGACGAAAAAAAAAAGAAAAAAAGAAAAAACCTACTATACTAAGTAATTTTCTATATCTTCACCATCCGGATGAAGCATAAATTGAAATTCTTCTCATTACTAAGATCATAAGTGTTTGTAACATCATTTTCATGAATTTTTTTTTTTAAAAAAAAAGCATGAATAATTCATATTTTACTAAATATTTCTAATTATTGTTATCATTTTTTCCATTTCGGGTTAATTTATGACATCGACAGAACCTATAAATATGAATGGGTGTTAGTTTTTGAAGCCACCATCTTTACTACTTGAAGCCACCATAAATTTTTTTGGAGCATTTTGCCCCTCACATTTTAAACTTCCACCAAAGGAAAAAAGAGAGAAAACTTGAAACCACCACCCTTCTAAATCCCATTTTGAAGTCTAATTTGGTGAAAAATTGATGGCAACACGGAAGAATCAAAGCGGGAAAGAGCCGATCTCATCACGGGTACGTTTTTTTTCAAAAAAAAACTTTGTAAATGGAAGAAAAAAAAAAAAATTGGAATCTGGCCGCCGGACGGGCAATGAAGCCGTCCGGCGGCGCGACGGGACGCGTTGCTTGCGCGTCCGGTCGCGCCACGACGGCTTCATTGCCCGTCCGGCATTGCCAGTTTTTTTTTTTTTTTTAAATGTTGTAAGACCGCCGGACGGGCAATGAAGCCGTCGGCGGCGATCGGGGACGCGCAGCAACGCGTCCCGGTTCAACCCGAACAGCGGTTTGCTCGTTCCGTGTTGAACCGAGACGCGTTTCTTGCGCGTCCCGGTCGCGCCGCCGGCCGGCTTCCGGCGCCATCCGGCGGCCAGATTGCAATTTTATTTTATTTTTTATTTGTTTAATTACAATGTAATTATGTTTTAATTATGTTTGATTTAATATAATTAGGGTTAGTAAGTAATTTTTTATTATTTAATATTTTGTGATTTAGATTGGTTACTTAATTTAATTGTGTAAATAATTTAATTTGATTAATAATAGATTTATTCATTAATTAGTTTGATTGATGTACTTATTAATTTAAATAGTTATTAAAGTATTTAGGTTATATTTTTAACTAAGTTATTAGTAGATTAGTAAAGTTAATTATTTGAATTGATTAAATTAATTTAAATAGTATGTAAATTAGTTGAATGAGAAAACTAATTTAATTAATAGTAGATTAGTTCAGTACCAAATTAGTTTAATTGATTTATTCATTATTTTAATTAGTTATGAAAGCAATTAGGTTATATTTTTAATTTAATTATTAGTAGATTAGTAAAGTTACTCATTTTGATTGATTAAATAAATTTAAATAGTAGGTAAATTAGTTGAATATTAAAAACAAATTTCATTAATAGTAATAGTAGATTAGTAAATTTAATTTAAATTGTGTGTAAAGTAGTTAATGATTAATTAAATTAATATAAATATTTTGCAAAATAGTTGAGTATTTTTAATTAATTAAATAGTAATTTAATTTAAAATTTGGTAAAGTACTTTAGTTTACTTAATTATTATATGAATTGTACTAAATTATTATACTATTTAGGATATGCGTATAATTATTTTTTTAGACTATGAAAATATGATGACGATGAATAAAATTTTATTTATAGGTTTATGGTGATGATGATGATGATAGTGATACTAGTGATACTGAAGATAGTAGTAAGCGTAAGATTCGTGCGCGTCATCTGACCATGAGTCGTCGAAAGAAAAAAGAGAAAAAAGAGAAAAAGAAGCGAATGAGAATGACTCAGGTCACTATGGGGGGTGTACCGCTTCAAACTCGGTCTAGTCAGCCGATTAATGTACCCGAGTATTCTGAGGACGACCTGGAAGAGGGTGATGAGGATGAGGAGGATGAGTTTGATGAGGATGATGTGCAGGACAGTGTTAGGATGGATGCACATCACAGAGATACGCCTGTGTACAATCTTAGTAGTTACCCTCCTCCTCTGTACTCCAGTTTTCCCCGGCCTGGTCCTCGCGGTTTACCCTCTCTCCCTACCCCTATCCCTTCTCCTAAGAGTGGTGAGTGGCGCAGTCCATATCATAGTCCCTCTTTCCCGCATCTGGGTATATCCGGTAGTCAGCCTCGTCCCCCCCGCCCCGCTCAGGCATCTCCCCCGTACATTGATCCCGTGCCCCCTCGCGGAGGTCCCGTCTCCGCTCGAGTATCTACACGTCCTCCCCCTCTCATTGATCCCGTGGGCCCTAGCCGAGGTCCCGGATCCACTGGAGTATCTCCACGTCCAGTTACCACTACTGCATCATCAAGTACCAAATATCTATATTTAATATTCTGTAATTATGTTTAATTAATTATTTTTACTTATATTTACGATTAATTGTTGTATGTATAAAATGTAATAAATAATATTTGGCTTACTCATTCATGGTACAGGCGACAGCAGCCAGTCGAGAGTTTCTGATGACATTGATCTGACTACATGGCTAGTGACAGATGAAGTACCTGGTGGGGCGATAGATGGTAGCGTGATTCCTAGCTTCCTTGGGCATATTGCTTATCATTTCTGGCATGGATACAATAGACCCACATTGAAGATTTTTAAAGGCGAAAAGATTCTGAATAAGTTGAAGATGTGGTATAAAGATATGGATGATGATGTGAGGGACAAGATTCGGGGGACTGGATTGGGTCACCTTCTTCGTACCTCGTATGAAGATATTGATCTTGGCTTAGTTCAGGCATTTGTTGAGAGGTGGCAGCCGGACACCAACTCATTTCATTTCCCGTTTGGGGAGATGACCATCATGATGCATGATGTTTATCATATTTTGGGCATTGAGGTCGATGGAGAGTTGGTGACAGGTACGTCCGACACAGATTTGTTGAGGGACATGCAGCAGGATACTTGGCATGGATATGAATGATTACAAGTGGAGTCATGGCGGTGTCTCTGATTCGTTCATCCTTGAGCGATGCGAGAAAGCGGACGCGAATACCCAGGCCAGTGCTTTCTTGTGGGTATTGTTGGCCTCGACGTTGTTCATGAGCAAGAGTGGTGGGAGCTGCAGTGTTGCACTTGTACATGAGCTGATGGCTGGGATCGAGAATATGGGTTCATACTCGTGGGGCTCTGCTACGCTTGCGTTCCTATACTGTCAGTTAGGGATGGCTAGTAGGGCAATGTGCACTCAGTTAGGTGGTTATTTGACCCTACTGCAGGCCTGGATATATGAGTATTTTCCGATTTTTCGCCCCCAGGGAGGGCGAGTTACCCGTGCGGGTAATGACAGGCCTAGAGTACATGACTGGATACCACCATCTTTTGCGAGGCCGACATCTGTGTCAGATCGTCTTCGTCAGGTTAGGGAACGTCTCGACCGTTTCACCGAGTTAGAGGTACTTGATTGCTTCATTTGACTGTATTTCATTTTATTTTTTGAAAATTATATTTACAAATAATCTAAATGCTATTTTGCAGGTTAAGTGGGAGCCATTTGGACCTGGCCAACAAGGAATAGTTCCTAGGACTATCTATAGTGGGTGGATAATGTATAGGAACATGCAGGAGCCATACATGCCGGACAGATGTATACGTCAGATTGGCTACGTACAGAGCATTCCTCGTTCGCCCATGTCCCCTGATGATGCATTCCGAGGACCCAGGACTACACAGTACTTTGTACAGCATTCTTCTGTTGACACACTCAATACTTGGAGGAGATTCCCAGAGTCAGCGTGTCTTAATTTGACCAGATGGCGATACAATCATAGCGTTGACACCGTAGGAGAGTGTGAGGATGGGTACCTTGAATGGTACAGGCAGTATTCACATCCATTTTTGCTGCCGACAACTGACCCATCTGCAGTCTCTACACCAGCTAAGAGCAGTCAGGATTATGTAAGTTGTATTTTTTTTTTTGAGTTTTTGTAGATATACATTTCTATATTATAAATAGGTTTAACCTTTTTTGGATTTTGTGATTTCAGTGGATGAATGAATTGAGGAAGCTGACCAGGGACCTGATTAGAAAGGTCAAAGTGTCCGATCGCGACCTGGCCGACGAGTATGACGAGAAGCTGCAGGATACGATGATCCGTTATTATAAGGCCCCATGATCATTGACATTGTTGGACTATTTGACTGGATTTGTTTATTTTTCTCTTTCTTGGACTGCATTTTATTTTTTTTTTATGGTATGATGGGATTGTGAACAATTGATAAGTTAGCTTATTTGGTGTCCGTGTGGTAAGTTTTTTTCTTTATGGCCAACAAGGTTTGTTATTGCACAAATCATAAAAAACAAACAAATCAACTACTAGATAATATCATTATCATCATCTAAGAAACTAAGATCAATGAAATCATTTTGAAAATTCACAGGACGCCCAGGATTGTTGGGGACCAACCTATACCAATCTTGAATTCTAGGAAGAAGTGGTAATTCCCAACCAGTAACGCTAGGCTGATGTTCCTTAGTCCACCGATTATTGATTGGTGGAACTAGAAAGTCACCGTCCAAATTGATCCGAATGAAGTGCTTGTAAAGACCATGGTGACATACCCCAATCTCAAATGCCGGACATGTTACCTCACCGCGTGCAGTGACAGGTAGTACAGTCCAACATGATGAGTTTAGCGGCTGGTTCTCTTCCCCTGCACCGTAATAGTACACAATTGCATTGTTCATAGTCGCAACTACGTACAAGTCCGTCACACACATCCAATGGCGCTCAGGTGCGAAATCTTGTCCACTCCACCGTATACGACGGACTTCTTCCTGTAAGGACGTCCTGTATTTACATATACAATTATTTGTACAAAATACTGCCAAGTTCAGCAAACATCATAACATAGAGAATGAAAAGTATTTATACCCGTAGATTCTAGTGTACAGATGCCAATTCTGTTCTAGCTCGTTTGCCATTGCCTCTCTTGCCATCGGCCACTTCTCCTGGCTAAAAAACATGTTACTCGCGACTACGCGAAATCCACAATTGCCATCGGCACCAATATCAAGGTAACTGGTAATATATGGCCGAATGGGCCATGAAATGAGGTCGTAGCAACCATACTGTGAAATATCATTCGCAAAGATATCTGTACATTACACGGAAACAATGTTATTTAGAACAATTGATAATAAATAAAGAATATTATGAACAATTACTTATTAACATGTACCTGTGGATGCATCTGTACGACCACCTGAAGACGAGGGGCGCTTCTTACTTGAATCGCTAGTAACTGTGGTCGACTTTCCTTGCGCCTCGTCCCTGTAATCCCACACATTAGGAGTTGCTTTTTTCTGTGGGGATTGTTCATGGGTAACAGGGTTGGCCTCTGTTTTTTTCTTTGATTTAGCCCCCTTAGGCCGCCCCTTCCTTCTCTTGACCTCCTCGGGTTGTTTGAACCCACACTGTTCTGGATGCATAATATCGTGGAGAACCCTATTTACAGTACGTCGTACTGCCTTAGGACACTCGTTCAGCTCTTCCATCAACTGTCTGGTATAAAGGACCTCGTCATCCACATCGGTAGGAGCACTCGTACCAGCCTGTTCACTGATATTAAGGGTCGCCCAAAATGGGTGAATATGCTTAAGAGTTATCGATGTGCCGGCATCTGCAGCCTTTTTGAGAGCGCACGCACATGGAATTCGACAAGTCCAGTACACCACATGATCGCATCGGTCATTGGTTTCTTCTTTCCACTCTTGCACCTTCGACCACTCAGTGTTCAGCTTTTGCAAACAAGTATGTGAAACTTGAAACTTCAAGCGGTTTAGTGGAAAACCACAATAATGGGTGCCAATTTTCTGTCTTGAGTACTCCAGTTTGTACTTGTATGTAGCCAATTACTGTAAAACATTCTACGTAAAATGCCATAAAAACAAAATAATTACTAAATATATTATAATAAATATAACTTCTAATATAATGGAATAGAACTTACCGTATTTCGGTTAGCTGACTCTGAATTTCCAAGTGCACCTTAGCCCAAAGTGTATCCAGGGACGCCGTGGATGTTTCCAGCCAGGTTTTTAACTGCTTGTGCGCGCTCTCCACCCTACCTGTAGTAGTGTTGCCCATATGAAACACAGCATTCGTCCATGCCTTGACGAATTTGTAGTCAACCACTAGCCATGTCTTCTGGATATAAGTAAGAACTCTCGGAAAAGACTGCCAACGACGGTTTATTACGGCAACAGCTTTATTGTACTCATCCTGGTTATTAGCTTCCACAACATCTTTCCACAACCCATATGTAAAACCATTTGTAATCTTGGCATCAATTTTCAATTCCTTGTTGAGATGTCGCTTTACATTCTCATAAACGTGCCAAACACACAACAAGTGGCATGAATCTGGAAATACCATACCCAGCGGCGCCATCAACCCCGGTTCCCGATCAGTAACAATAACAGCTGGAGACAGATGACCAGGTAGCAAATCCCTTAACTGTCTCAAAGCCCAATAATAACTGTCAGCAGTCTCGTCACTCAAGAGGGCGTATGCAATCAGGAAGTTCTGGTTGCATGGTGTCATCCCAATAAACTCAACCAATGGCATTTTGTACTTGTTCGTCTTGTATGTTGAGTCTATCCCGACGACCCATAAATAACTGCAAAATAAATTGACAGCATCAGGATGTGCAAAAAATATACGAGTCAGCACACATGTCTCCTGATTGCAATCTGTCATGATGATGTAACCATGATGCTTGGCCACCGCTAGTGTCTTCGTCGCGACATCCATGGCACTCGATTCACCCAACACCGGGAATCCCTCATTACGCAATTTCTTCCTGAAATTGTACACTTGCCGTCTGTTAACTTTTTCATCAGGAAAGATCCTCTGAATCGCAGCCATGATCTGACACGGTCTGCACCCATCTTTGGACATACCCTATATAAGCTGTTTCACTCTATCGCTAAGGCCCCTCGTGGGATGATCTTCGTCAAACAGCTCGTGGTTATGCATTCCAAACTCACCAGGATACACCCGAATGCGCCACTTCCCATCCACTGAGTGCACGTATAACTTAAATTTACACCCAGTGTTCTGTGTCTTCGAATCTGATGTGACATAGTATTCACCATCATCAACTGACACCTTTCCCCCTTTACAGCATCTCATCAGAACAGCATTCTTCTTCTTACTAGAAACTACATTTATAATCATACCATTTGCCATACCCATGCCTTTCACCTAAGCAACAGCATCATCCTTGTTTGCAAATTCCTCATCTGTAGCAAATAATATACTGTAATCTTGACCATCGCCACCAAAATCTTCTAAAGAATCCTGCAAATTAAACATAAAATTACAACAATAAAAAACTGAATCATTTTTAAATTAAATTAAACACATATTCCAATAATTTAAAAAAGTTAAACAATTATAATAAATAATAAAAAAACATATATTTACAGTAAATAGATTAATTATTTACTAAATTAAATTTCCCAATACTTACCTAATAAATATTAGCGATTAATTAAATAGATTAATTATTTACTAAATTAAATACTTATTCCACAAAATTCTTTAATTATTTAATTATTCCCCCCTAAATAAATATTATTTCTAATTAATTAAATCTAAATAGATAAATAAAATTCAACTAATTACATTACTTAACATAGCTAATTAATTTAAGATATACAATAATAATATTCTTACTTAATTAAATTAACAAAACATGCAATAAATAAAAATATAATTCAATTAATTAATTTACTTAACATAACTAATTAATTTTAATTAACATAACATGCAATAAATAAATATAATTAAACTAATTCAATTACTTAACATAACTAATTAAATTAAAAAATAAATTAACATAATAACATGCATGAAATTAAAATTATTAAAAAAAAAAATTAAAAAAAAAACCCGGTTGAACCGGGACGCGTGTTATACCCGTCCGGCCAATGGATTGGACGCGCCTATTGCCCGTTCACGGTTCAACCGGGGCGCGTATATTGCGCGTCCGGTTCGATTTTACCCGGTCCGGCCTTGCAATGTACGCGTCCGGTTCAATGGCCGGACGCGTTTCTTGCGCGTCCCCAGTTCAACCGGGACGGTTTTTTTGACCGGTTCGGTTATTTTTTAAGTTATTTTTTTTTACCTCTGAATTAGTCATTTTCTTTCTCTCTCTACTGGCAGGGGCAAAATCGTCAAAAAATTTTTGAGGTGGCTTTGAGTACTAATTTTGTTGGCTTCAAAAATCCCCCCCCCCCCTAAATATATAGGGTTGTGACATATTATTATGTTATTGTTTTGTCGATTTTTTTTCCAACTTGGGAAAATGATTAATTACTAAGAATTATTTATATATAGATTATTAATCCAACGAAATTTTACTGTATAAAGAAGTTATTAGTACACTCGTTTATCTATATATACTATACTAAGGTAAAAACCAGAGAAAGAAATCTAAAGTTAAGGAGCACATGCCACATAGGATTTTATCCTATGTGGCATTTTCTTAATTTTTTAGATATAAAAATGCACAAAATAAAACAATAAAAACCAAAAAAAAAAAACGCAACTAAAAAAGTCCAAACTCTGTATTGATTCGACCAAATCCTTGCAAATCCGATGGACGGATCTCTTCCTCCTAAAAAAAAAACGCTACTGAAAAAGAATTTTATATTAATAATTTATTAAAATAATTAAAGAAGTTAGGCCAACCTGAAACTTCTATAATTTAGCTTCAAATATGGAATTGAGTTAAAATACTGTGGTGATGGGTTGATGTAGCGAGGCTAAGAAATCAAAAGGCACTCCAAAACAAGCAATAAAGGTCCTGATATCCAACTTTTTTTTTTTTTTAATTTCTCTTATTAAAAAATTGGATGGTCTCTACAACAAGTTAGGATTGTTGTTTCTATAGTAACCATTCCTTATCATAAACCTTTAAAAAAAAAAAAAATCCTTATCATAATTTCTTAACCACCCTAGCCGACCTTTTTACCCCAAACTACCAATGTAGTATACCAAGAAATATTGCAAGATATATAATTATTTAATTCAAAGTTCATTTTTTTTAATTTCTTAACAATCTTTTTTGCGTTAAATAAATTACCAGTGTATTCGTTTGATAAAGTGTTGTCGATGTTTGTGTTTTATATTTTTTAATGAATTCATTATATATTTTATAAAAATACAAAAATCAATACAAATATTAATATTTTTTTTATTTATTTGTGTAGTAATGTTTATGTATATGTGCTCCCCGGACGGGTCTAACACCTAGTTTATATATACTGTACAAATTAAAATCCATCACTTGCCCTTAATCCAAATCCTTCCTTATCAAATTCTTCCTTTTAAAATCAGCAGTCTTAAAAAGCCCCATCCTGAGTGTCGATTTCAAAAGTAGAAATAATAATTTTGGATCTCTTAGTTATGGAATACCAACCTGTGTTTGGGTTATTTTTTGAAATTTTTGAAGAGTGTTTTCAGCATCATCGTCTTCATGATCTTGATTCTCTCCTAAAGGAGATGCAGGTCTTCCAGAACACTTCTTCTTGTTCTGAGAACATTTCTGGTGTACGCAAAGAGCCTGAAGCATGAGGATGCTCATCAGCTGGGGTCCCTGGTTTCTGATATGGAAGCTGGATTCAGAGAGTCGAAAAGGGATTTTACTTCCATACATAGGATTGAAAGATCCAGAGAGAATTTGGATACTGCAGTTTCCAGGTTGCAAGACAAGCTCATGGTTTGGAGGCCCCAGATCAAAGCAGCTTTTGGTTCTTTTGAATCTCACTCGGATTCTCAATCTCCCCTGGGAAACTATGCTCGCTGGATGTGTTTTGCCTACTTGGTAGTGAAGAATATACAGGATATGCTCACCTGGAATCGCAGGATACCTCCGATGGTCCTCCGCAAACTTGAAGCCCTGGAAGAGATGCTTTGGAGTGTTATCAAATTTGTCCAGGTTATTTATTCTCGTCGTGTCCTAATATTCCAAAGAGGTAAGTTTAGAAATCTTTTGACTCAATTTGGAGCTGGACTTGTCCGCACAGCAAGTCTCTGTTATTTGTGCTTGGTCGATATTACTAATGATTCAGATGAAAGAATGGTCATTGTGCTCAGTGATCTGATGATGACGATCAAGCCTAGAACCCCTCAAGTCATTGAAGGGTATCTGGAAGAACTTAAGGCCTTACAATCTGCTAAAAACCTAGTATTATCTTTGGCTGTAGCTAGTTTGATATTACTGGGGGGATTCCTTAGTTTGTACCCTCTTTAATAGATCGTGACCATAAAAAATACGCATTAATGGTGTTGTCCACCGGCTTGATGGGGTGTTATGTGACACCGATGCCAATTCCCGAGAACCAGGCCTCAAAAGTTTCTGCAGTTGAAGTATTTTGTGGATTTCTCTGTCCTGAGAGTTCTCAAGTTGGAACTCTTAACCAAGGGCTAAAAAACCTTTTACAGTTTGTCTTGGCTGCATATTTTCTCAAGAAAAGCTATACTGTAAGACTGGTTCTGGTTGACACTGTAGCGGCAATGGTCGAGCTTGGATCTCTTTTGTATGATGAACCCTGGATTACTAGAGAAACTGATTCTGCACTCCACAAGTTGCTTCAAAAGAATATGCTTCTGGTGTTGGAGGCCATCCTCACTAACTTCGACCTTCCAGAAAGTGAATCCATCCCTCTGAAACAATGCCATTTTAATTTCATTGAATCTGGACTAATCTTTTTCCTAAATTTCTTGGGAAATGAAAGTGTGAATTCTGAGCCACTCTGGAAGTATATTATACACATCTTTTCGCTCACTAAATCAAGCTCCAACGATGTCAGGAATTCTAGCGTGCCACTATTTAGGCAGCATATTCTGACTATCCGAATTCTTAAGATGGAGATAAAATTAAAAGAGCTTCTATACAGATCTCAAAGTCTGCTGCCCACTGTCAGGAAGCAAATGCAAACCCTTCATAAGGAGGTATTACTTGTTACAACCTTTCTGGCTGCCATTCAAGGGGGAAACAGAACACTTGAAGGATCTGTTCTAGAAGATGTTTATTCTGGTTTTGTCTCTTTCAATTGGAATGAAATAAGCGAGCACACTTTGAGGTCATTCAGCCTTGAGCTTTTTGTGTTTTTAAAAAAAATTATGCTTGCCTGCGAAGAGAAAAAAGGCATGTATCTACGTGATCGCAGCTCGTTACTATCACCCAATTTCTCCAAAACCCCTGAATTTGGATTCATGGATTTCCTTTTGAGGGATTTACAGGAGCTGCTAAACTCCGAACATGTCAAGTTTCCCTTGCAAATTCAAGTGATTCACGGCCACATAGACTTCTTCAGATCCTTCCTCAACGATGTGGGAAACAAGCATTATGATTTTGATCATTCAGATCTCAAAGGTCTTGTTTTGCGCATTCTACAAGTGGCATTGCAGGTACTTTTTTTTTTTTTTTTTTGGATGAGATCAACACACTAGCTTGATTGATTGCAAAAACTTTCTGTCTCTTGTCTCAGGTGGAATATATCAGCGATTCATTGTTGCAGAATCCTGATGTTGCATGGTATCTTTTCCCATGGCTTTCTAGCCTCATAGAAGATACCAAACTTATTAAGGTTCAGATCTCTGAAATCTCTAATGAGTTACATGGCATAAGATTCGATGATTTTCTCCAGTCTACAAACAACGTGATGCCACCATCAAAAATTTCCGAAATTGATGAAGTTGTAATTAACCGTGTTGATGATGAATGTGAATTGATAGCAAAGCTTACAAGAGGATCGAAGCAGCTAGACATTGCCTCCATTGTTGGGATGGCTGGCATAGGTAAGACTACGCTGGCGAGGAAAATATATTACAGTTACTCAGTTAGCCTTCACTTCCATACTCGTGCATGGTGTCACGTTTCCCAATTATATCACAAGAGAAAACTACTGATCGAAATTTTGGGTGACGTTATGGAAATTACAAATAGCATACTTGAAATGCGTGATGATGAATTGGAGCTTAAGCTGTATCAATGTCTGAAGGGAAAAAGATACTTAATAATTATAGATGACTTGTGGAGCACTGATGCCTGGAATGATTTGCAACATTCCTTCCCAAATGACGGAAATGAAAGCAGAATCTTGATCACTAGTCGTCTCCATGACGTGGTCCCAAAAATTCAGGAAGATAGCATTCATCATCTCCCCCTACTCACAGACGCTGAAAGTTGGGAACTGTTGAACATGAAGTTATTCAAAGAAGAAGCTTGCCCTGAAGATCTTCTGGATCCAGGAAAGAAAATTGCGAGCAGTTGTGATGGTCTCCCTCTTACAGTTGTTACAATATCTGGTCTCCTCCAAGGAATTGAGAAGACATCAGATTGGTGTAAACAAGTTGGAGAAAGCTTAAGCTCACTCATTGCCGATTCTGAGGAATCAAGATGCATGGACAAATTACGTCTGAGCTATAATCATTTGCCTAACCATTTAAAGCTTTGCTTTCTTTATCTTGGAGCATTTTTCGGGTATAAAGAAATTCCAGTTCGCAAATTGATACGCCTGTGGGTTGCTGAAGGTTTGGTCCAACATGCAGGGGAACGAAGCGCAGAAGATGTTGCAGAGGAATTATTAACTGGTCTAATTGGTAGAAGCTTAGTAATGGCTTCCAAGAGAAGGTCGGATAGGGGAATCAAAACTTGCTGTCTCCACGACATGGTACTTATTTTATGCTCCCGGATATGTGAAGAGGAATCCTATTTGGAACAGGTAACATGGCGTGATGAAGTTTTTTCAGGCTTTTCTGAGGATTTAGACTATGGTGTTCATCCCAACCATAGTCATTTGACGGATCCAGTGACATATTCAAAACGTCGACCGTCCATTTATTCCAGGAGAAATCATTTTGTCATGTCAAGACCCTCAGGGCCACATGTCCACTCTCTACTGTACTTCGCCACAAGTGATTCCCGTCCAGAGTGCCCACATGACATCTCCCTCATTCCTGGAAATTTTAAACGCCTTAGAGTGCTGGATTTAGAATGCATCAATCTGGGCCATACTTTCCCTGAATGGGTGGAGGATTTGGTTCGCCTGAGATACTTAGCACTTTCTGGTAATATTAACTCTATCCCAAACTCAATAGCCAAGCTCAGAAATCTTCAAACTTTGGTTTTGGTGGGATTAATAGGTAGAGTTCTGCTGCCAGATACTATTTGGAGCATGGTAAAGTTGCAATATCTACATGTTAGAAATGGCGCATTCTTCAGCTTTCAAGGCACACAAATGGAAAATCCTCCCCAATTACCCGAACTCGTGAGCCTTTCATCTCCTTTGCTATATGGTGTTCAAGATGCAGAGAAAATCCTGATAAGGTTACCCAAACTTCGAAGGCTCACTTGCATATTTTCAGATTCGCGAGATGTTGATACTGGAGACCGTCTTCAGTTTCCAGTGCTGAGCTTTCTGAAAGATCTGAAGTCACTCAAGATAACCTATTCTGGAAGGAATTTTCATCCTCGTAAATTTGATTTCCCGTGGACTCTTACGAAATTGACACTGTCAAAATTTCGCCTGCCATGGGATTGTATCTCTGAAATTGGGAAGCTACCCAACATTGAGGTTCTAAAGTTACTTGCTGGAGCCTTTGATGGGGAAGTATGGGACATGAAAGATGGGGAGTTCCAGAAACTTAGATATCTGAAACTAGACAATCTAAACGTTGTCCACTGGAATGCTTCTGAAGATAATCTGCCCAAATTCAACACCTAGTTTTGCGAAGTTGTAAGCAGCTTGAGGAGGTCCCTTCTGGTTTTGGGAACATTTATACTTTAGAGGTCATTGAGGTACGAACCTGTGGAGTTTCTGTTGAAGAGTCAGTTGAAAAACTGAAGCAGGAGCAAGTTGACATGGGAAATGAGGAGTTGAAGATTCTAATCAACCGTTCAGATACAGATTTCTGATCTGTGAGTTTTTATACTACCATCATGTTTGCAGTGATGTCCCCCCTCAAAGATTCAGTCTTAGTCCTACACTTCAGATGTCAAGGTTGATATGTTTTGGATACTCGTTCTTGGGCTGTTTTGAAGTTCTCAGCTTTTACTGTTGTGGATGAGGTGAGATTCAGCTGCAACGGAGGAAAGATACGACCCATTCAAGGATCTTGGAGCTGAAAATTCCGATTGACGAGGCTTGTCAGCGGAAAAAGGACTTATGAGCTCGCTATACGTTGAAAGATTGAAGAAGGTATTACACCAGTCCATTGTGCATTCATAACCTTACCAGTCAATCAAAGAATTTCAGTAGCATCATTCATAGCTGCATATCTCTCCATTTTGTTCTGAATTTTGTAAAATACCGGGTCTATTCAAGCATAAATTTTCAAATTTCATCAATTTTTTAGTGTTTGTATAGCAAGTGATTTTCAAGGTATAGCTTCTTGTTTGAAAATTAAGAGGTTGGCTTATTAGCTCTAGTTTGCATCTCATCTTCTTTCCAAAAGCAATTTCTAGCTTGCATACTGGTCAAAGAATGTCACTTTGCATTAGTCAAGTAGCCTGATTTGGAGAGACAGGAAACAGTAGAAAGATGGGAAACAAATTATTGAATGTACTGCTCATCTGGTTTTGATTAAGAGTATTTCATAGGTGTAAATTGTCAAAAGCATCATTATAATCTTAAAAATGTTAGCCGCTGATAGACTGTTTACTTATCCTTGATATCAGATTGATGACAATGTAAGTCAAGAGGGAAATCATCAACAATGGGTCTCTGAAGCATCCCAACATTACCATCTTTGAAAAGGTAACCTTCATCATGTGCTCCTCTTTTGCATCTAGAGTCTACACAATGATGAAACAAGGAAGGATTGTATTTGAAAGCATTATTTAGAGTTAGAAGTTTCCAAACCTATAAAACATGAGTGACAACTCAGGCTGTAGATTAGCAGAAATTTACTGGATTTAATAGTTGTAGTAGCATTATCCCCACACATACAATTTTAATGTGATTCCTTCTTACAGATACCACTGATTTCATAGTGTAGTCTGTCTGACAATGATAATATTTCTCAAGAGAGATATCAAACTTCAGTTACAAGTTGTTCTTTCATCATTCATTGCTAACAGAGAAAATACAATCGTTTATTGGAGAACAGATCACACATCTTATTAGATGAAAACATAGGCCATTATTGGATGACATCCATATGCATTGATGTTTTTCCTTGTTTTATCTAATGACGGGAAGTCTTAGCCCTTTGATCTTCAGGAGGTGCAAGTATAAAATCATTTTGGTTATTGTCATGAACTATGCTGCCAATGGAGAGGTCTTTTTCAAGAGTATGCAATGCTGGTAGATTCAGGGAGATCAGCTGAAATACTGAAAACATGTTTTGACTGATTATCAGCTTTGCGTTCCTTGTTGATTCCGACAGAGATAGTATGGCATTGTAAGTCCTTGAATTCAGGCTTGATATTGCTTCCACCAACTTCTATCTGGTGTCAGCTATAGCCCATTCAGTGGTAGATAAGTTGCACAAAATGGCACCTTTTCTATAATTATATGTTTTTGTTTGTCAGTATGTATACTAATCAGAGTTGATTTCTCTTCCAGAAATTTGTCATAGCAACTTGAAACTACGAAATAGTATGAAGCCCATGCGGTTCCACCTACAAACAATTGGCAATGAAGGGATAGTCCATGGAGCTTACATGTTGATACAAAGTGTCCGTGGGACTAACATAACTTAGGATTTCATCAAAATACTCTCTATTGGATGGAAATTCAGACATTATGCGATTTCAGTTACTCAAAGGTTACATAAAGCTTTTGGGAAATCTTTAACACACACCATACTACCTACATTTCAGTACAAATCGTGGAATTATATGTCTATTCTTTCATGCAACCTGGATTGCAGTACTCACCACCCAAATCAACAGTGGAACACCAGCATATAGCGCCTGAGCTCCTGTCAAGAAAGAAATATGATGAGAAGGAATGCAATCTTAAGAAGGTAACTGGTTTCATTAATTTTCTTTTTTCCTTGAAATCATATCTTCATTTTTGCAGATTGTGGATGTTTTGTCACATGTTATGACATTATACATGACGTTGGTCAGATCATATCCCTTTGATGAACTGATGATGACCATAAGAATTTCCCAAAAAAAAGAAACCCAACTGTGAGTTTAATGCCTGAACCTGAATACCAATGAGTTAAGTGCAACTTTTGTATTAGTAACTTTTGTCATTTCTGACACAGGATTATGAGCACTCAGTATTCCATCCCGGATTATGTGCGAGTTTCTACATGTTCTCGGCATCTACTCTCTCGTATTTTTGTTACAAATCCCTTCCAGGTAATTTGTTGCACCGATCAAATGAGCTCAAATTTATCTGGAACTTCTTGCATCAAAATTAAATTGCAACTGAGCTGGAAATATACTATATTTATCTAAAGGATTATATTTCCACAGATAAAGCAACATCCTTCGTTTCTAAGGAATTTGCTGAATGAGCTTATAGATGTGGAGAAGCAGAGTGGTGGTATCAACCAGGAACCTGATCAACGTCAACAACTTCAGACACTGAAGACATAATGAGGATCATACAAGAGGCAGAAATCCCCCTGGTGAAGCGCCTAAGCCCTGAAAATTAATCTCCATTGTTGGATCACTAAACCCAGAAGGCCAGAACATTAAGCTCCTTTGTGATTGTATTGTAACAAGTGGCTATTTCGTTTATATCCAATTCCGCAAAATGTTGTACTGAATTTCGGACCGGAGAGTAGATCCCTTTGAATTTGTAGACTCAATTAACCCTCTGGATCAAATTAAAAGTTTAGTTTGCAGATCTGGCTAGTCAGATCTGGCTTCTGCACATTCAAACGTTTCAAGAATTTCTCACCATTAACAAACAATTAGCTTAAATTGACCTCACCTTAAATACAGAAAATCCATTTTCAGATGGTTTGATTCTAACACTAAATTCAGAAATCAGCTTAAGATTATAGCCAACTGTATATCCATTGGTAGATGGTTTGATTCGAACACTTGGTTCAGAAATCAACTTAAGATTGAAACCAACTGTAGCTTCAGTTATGAGTTATACAGACATTGGAACTTCAAACATTGGCAATCACAAACAAACACATCAATTCTGGCAGTAAGCTTTTCACTTCAAAAACGTTACATAAGTCCTTCTCTAGGACCAATTCCATACAACTACTTAATACTACCTCCGGACGGAGGGAGTAACATTCAAACCTAATCCCGTTTGGGAATCACTATAACATAAAAATGTCACAACAGAAATGGCTCACTAGAGCTCAACAATCTTCTGTTTCTTCTTCATTGGCTTTTGTTTCTCCACCGCTTCATTAGAACAACCTTCTGCAACGCCGTTCGATTTCGACGTCTCTTCGTCATTATCACCGTTACCAACATTTTCATCATCAGTATCATCATCATCTTCATCATCACTGCTATCATCCGCAACCCAAGAAGCAGGGGGCTGATAACCAGCCATGGCTGATTCTGCAGCTGCAACGGCTTCAGGGGTATGAAGATCAGCAACACCCAACATCAAATCCATCTCAATTAATTCAGTCTCATTCCCAGTAAGCGTCTCAATATCATATTTCTCCCTCTCCTCATCATCATCAACCTGCAGCTTCTTATTCGCTTCTGCAAAAACCCCAAGAAAATTCTTCACTCTACCCAGAACATCACTTTCCGGAACCGCAGATATATTGGGTTTCTGATCAGGGATTCCGATTTTATCAGATTTGGGTTTGCGGGGCTTCAAAAAATCGTCTCTTTTGCAACACAGAAGCTTAGATTCAATGGAAGAAGAAGATGCAGAATCGTTACCAACTTTAGATTCCAAATCCAATAAAGCTTTGCTGGATTGATTAGCCTGAGTTGATTCCTTCATCTTAGGCACGCCAAAGAGGGACCTCTATTGGGTTGAAAGTATTTAGGAATCAATGGTGAGTAGGGTTTTTGGTTTAGGGTTTATGAAATCCTTTGAATTTTGATTGAATGTGTTAAACGCGAAGAGGTCGGGTCGTTCTAGTATGCGGCGGGGAAGAAGCCGTGAAAGGGCAGAAAAATGGTAACGGGCCTGTAAGGAGGAAAAAAAAATATTTATATTGGGCTGATAGTCCATTTAAGCCAGAGTAAAGATAAGGTTTGTGGGCCTACTTTTACATTACATATACCCGAGAATTAAGTTGTTTATCAGTTAGATTGTTTTTTTTGGGTCTCACCCGTTAAGGATGTTTCCACCAGATAAAGAATTCAGAAACAGAGAATTGGAATTAGAATGGGCAGAAAGGGAGAATCGACAAGGTTTTTTGAGATAGAAATTTAAGGAAAAAGGATTTTGATATATTTCTTGATAACTCCGATAATGAGAACAGATTCTTTTTTACAACAGGAAGAACTAGCTACTCGACAAAAGAGGAAGTTTCTAGGAAGCGACATCAGCACATAGTCACATTCCAGGAAGTTTCCTAAACAAAAACAAATCTAATAAATAAAGGTTGCTGCGAATCGATCCTGCATTGATGAGTCCCCGATGAATCGACAGCGTTCATTGCCAGAAAACCTAATTCCCAAATTTGATAATTCCCTCCAATAACTTAGGCTCATGATAGGGGGGGGAGGGGGGATATTTCCGTCATAATATTTAGTTATTTATTTAGAATGGCATAATATTTTTTAGTTACTAGTGGATAAACTACAAATATTTTTTAAATATAATCATAATATTTTTCTACTTTCTCCTGATGATTATTAAGTGAGCAATACAAATCAAAATTTCATTCTCCTGATGATTATTAACGTTATGTACCTATAGTTGATGTAGCCATACGTGTGATAAAATAAAAAGTGAAAATGTCATTAACCTTGCTTTGCTGCTTCACTTTCATGGCCGTGGCCGTGTTCCGTCCAATGACGGCATACGCCACCACCGACGGCTGCCCAACTGATCCGGCGGCCGCGGCAGCTGTCGTGAGCTGGTACCACAATGTCCTCCCAACCGCAAAGACCAAATTAACTGAACTCCATTTCTACTGTCACGAAATCCGGGTCGCCGACATCCCCAACACACAAAAGATAGCCGAGGCTAACACGAGCAGCTCTTCCGCGACGAATTTCGGGAGAACTTACGTCTTCGACGACTTCCTCACAGTCACCCCGGATCCCGGTTCGCAAATCATCGGTCGACTTCAAGGTGCTTACAGTTCAACGAGTCAAGAGGAATTCGCATTCATCTTGATGATGAATGTGGTGTTTACAAATGAGAAGTACAATGGTAGCACCATAAGCATTTTGGGTCGGGACCCGATTCGGCATAAGTCCAGGGAGTATCCTGTTTTGGGCGGTTCTGGTGTTTTCCGGCTGGCCCGCGGGAGCGCGGTTGCGCATACGTATGCCCTTGACCCTGTCACATTGAACGCCATTGTTGAGTGCACCGTTATTGTCCAACACTACGAGTGAACGATATGCTTTTAATTGCATGTTTTTGAGTTTATGGTCCGCTGGGATTTTTTTGTTTTTTTTTTTTTGGGGATATGTTTGAATAAAAGAATGGTTTGTTCATTGAAGCTGCACGATTTTTTTTCATTCTCTATTAGGCCTACGCTTCCTTCATTTCAATGCGTTACAGTCACAATACTTGTATATATATATAGATGCATCTTTCGTTTCAATCATCCAGAAATTCAAGAGTACTATTATTGGGTATATTGAGCTTTTTGAGTGGAATGATAAGAGTATCTCTTTCCTTGACAATGATGATAAAGGAAGCCGGATTTTGATTGATAGGCCGTTTTCATAACATCGTTTGCACGAATCGACTGCAAAAGCTTAACAGTCACCAAAGCTGTCCTTCGGAACTTTGTTGGCAAAAAGTCACCAAAAAGTTTAAGCAAACAACTTCCGGAAGATCAATGGGGACAATACAAATGGATGTACGTACTGGAACTAGAAGAAAATAGGTATTTGAAGAACAATAAAAAAATAAATGAGAGATGGATTGAATGGTTATATTGTGACTGACCGAATAGAAAGACTGAGATAGAAGCCATATTTATAGGCCTTCTACAGATGATAATTAACATATTTTCACTACAGATAATAATAAAAAGATTAAAGTTATCAACTACTCAATATTTATCATTCGAACCCTTAGCTATATCCCTAACTCATAAGGTAAACAAGGATTCCTCTTCATGATGATTATCTTTAACATCCTCCCTCAAACTGAGTCGGGGTTGGAGACTCAGTTTGTTTCTTGGGTGATCCTGACCACGCGTTGGACTGCTGTCCTGATATATGAATGGTGAAAATACAAGTGATGTAATGCGTGTTTTTGAGTGGAGTGCTCAAATTTTTGATTGTTAGAAATTGTTGAGAAACGAGATGTATCGATTCTCACTGTTGTGTTAGATTGTAGCATTACAAGTCCAACCTCTTCTTCTGAAAGGAGATTAAACGTTTGTCATGATGTGGATTTTTGTAGATAGAGATATTTTCTCTTTGTCATCTACATTTTTTTTTTCTTTTGTCAACCACATAAGTTTTGTGATCGACATGAGACTTGTATTTGACAAGAAGTGGTGGTGATTGAGGGTAAATTGGTTGTTTATGTTGCCAGAGATTGGCTTTCAGTGAATCTAAGAGGGAAGACCCTAGTGATGGAATGAGGCTGGGTAATGATTTCTTGCAGTGGTCATAGTGGTGTTAGGGAGTAATTTTGACGAGAAATCAGTAATCTTGATAGGTTTGGGATATCGAAGGACATAAAACATTACAGAAGCCCATGGGGTTCCACCTCAAAACCAATTGGCTATGAGGGGAGTAGCCCATGAAGCTTATATATTGATACTCAGAGTCTCCCAACACCGATGTGGGATTGGGACTCTTTAATACTCCCCCGCAAGCCCAACGTATTTTTTTGGGTTGGGCTTGTCCTATTTTTTTCAGCCCAGGCACCGCCTTACATCTCAGCCCTATTTTTTCGTTGGGCTTTTTGGAGTCCGAATATCGGCAGGCTGGCTCTGATACCATACAGAAGCCCATGGGGTTCCACCTCAAAACCAATTGGCTATGAGGGGAGTAGCCCATGAAGCTTATATATTGATACTCAGAGTCTCCCAACACCGATGTGGGATTAGGACTCTTTAATAGAACATAGATACGAATAGAAGACTAATGGTTTATTTCTTGAAAGAAAAAATAAGCGGAAGCATAGCACATAAGCAGGACGGAACCTGCTCTGATACCAAGAAGAAAATAAGTATTTGAAGAACAATAAAAAAATAAATGAGAGAGGGATTGAAGGGCTACATTGTGACTGATCGAATAGAAAGACTAAGATAGAAGCCATATTTATAGGCCTTCTACAGATGATAATTAACATATTTTCACTACAGATAATAATAAAAAGACTAAAGTTATCAACTACTCAATATTTATCATTCCAACCCTTAGTGAAGGACTACATTTTTCATTTCCTTTTGTAAACTGAATACATCAAATGCCTTTTTATAGGTTTATTTTACAAATATGATAATTATGTAAATTAACTAATTTTATTTAAATGATAAAGATAAGTAATTCACTTGAAATAACTAACTAGATGAAACTAATCTAAGACTTCTAATTCCTTTGTACTTTATCTCTTAACATTCCCTCGCAAACTGTGCTGGGACTGAAGGATTGAGGGCTGAAGGTGCAGTTTGTTGTAGAATAGAGTTCATTGGATGGATTGCTTGAAACTTGATTATGAGCTTGTTGTGAAGGTCTCATATTATGGATCTGAATTCAGATTTGTGAAGCTGTAATAAAAAAATAAAAAATAAAAAATTTTGTATTGTGGTAGATTACCAATGTTACATAATCTTGGTTTGAAAGTGTGAATGTCATCTCCAATGACCATGTTGCCATTTTTTGTGGAGATATGTGAATTTTTCTAATAATTCTCCAAAAAATATGTGTACTTCATTTTTGAGTACTTTTCGGAGAACTATATGTGTAAAAAAAAAATGACAAGTCCAAGGAATTTTCTCGGACTTTTGCCATGACTGAAATTTTTTGAATGGATTCAGATGAGACTCTTCTTCTTTCTTTTTTTTTTTTTTTGGTGGTGATGAATGAGATTGGAGGATGAAACAATGGTTGAGTTGTGAGGTAACCGATAGGTCCTTGGCTCTGTGCGGGAATCCCTCCGCAATGAATAATTGACTGGAGAGAATTTTAGAATGATAAAGTTTTGAGTATCGATGAACAGAAATGCAGAAGTCATGATTAGACATATATGTGGAAGCTAAAAAAACCTTCAGACCTAATATACGGAAGCTAAAAAAACTTTCAAACGCAGGATAGAACATGCTCTGATACCAAGAAGAAAATAGGTATTTGAAGAACAATAAAAAAATAAATGAGAGATGGATTGAAGGGCTACATTGTGACTGACCAAATAGAAAGAGTGAGATAGAAGTCATATTTATAGGCCTTCTACAGATGATAATTAACATATTTTCACTACAGATAATAATAAAAAGACCAAAATTATCAACTACTCAATATTTATCATTCCAACCCTTAGCTATACCCCTAACTCATAAGGTAAATAAGGATTCTTCTTCTTGATGATCTCCTCTTCATGATGATTAGAACTTAGCTATATCCATTTGCCGGATCATTTGAAGCCATGTTTTCTCTGTTTTTGGAGCATTTTTCCTGAGGAAAAAAGAAATTGCGACAACCAAACTGTCATGGTAATGGATTGCGGAAGGATATCGCGACCCCCGGCCCGTTTTTTACCTTCAAATTTAATTAATAGATATGCCTTGAAAGCTATTCAAGAATTTGCGACTCCTGGTGAAAGTGTTGGATCTTGTGAAGTGTTAACATATTACAACATTTTCCAGCTGATATTTGCTACTTTAGGTAACTCCATCTTTTGAGTTCCCAAGAGATTATAAATCCTTTTGACTTTTTTTAATCTTCAAACCCTTCCCAAAATTCTGTTTTGGAGACCATGAGATAGATCTTAAGGGGACTTCTCATTGGACTTATAGGTCCTTGAAATTACTTTCCAGTATTGGATAGCTCAGGGTGGAATGCAGGGGAAGCAAAGGTGCAACATCTCGAGTTCAAGTTGACCCACAATCTCAGGAAATAAGCTCTGCGGAATCTTCATGTACCGCGAGTACCAGATAATCTGCCTCATCTCGAGTTTCCAAAGCTCAAGTTTATTGGAAATTTTACAAGCACTTGATGTTAAGCACTGGATAATCAATGAAGATAACCTCCCTTTCCTGGAGACTTTGGTGCCTGAAGAATGCGAGAATTAACTTGAGATACCTCATTCTCTGGGGGGAAATTCCAACATTACAGAAGCTGGACTTACTGTACTGCAAAAATAACTGCGAGAATGTCAGCAAGAATAATCCAGGAGACACAACGCGAATTCGGAAGTGAAACTTTTTGTTTTGGTCGTGAAGGAACACAATGAGTAGCTGAAGATCATCACTGTTAATTATACATCTGATAATCATGGTACACCTTCAAGTACTAATATCCGTACCTCATAGTTACTTTGAACCAAGGAGCTGGTGAACAACGAGAAAGAAGATGTTAATAAGCTGAACTTGAGCGCTGGGTTCTATTGAGGCAAGGAGATATCTCTCTGGTTTATCCTCTAAATTTGTCTCCGTAGATGAGTAGATACTAGAAATTACATACTTGTAGAAATATGATTTAGACTAATCATGTACTATTTCCCTCCTGCAATAAGACTTAAAAAAATGAGATTCACGTTTATTGTTTTTAGTAGAATAAAACTGACTTTTACTTTGAAATTGAAAGAGCAAACGTCCAAGTGTGGCAATTATGAAACGTCCAAACGTCTAGAAATATGTTGTTCGTATTGTGTAGTTTAATTTCTGTATTTCAGAAGAGTTCTTTACTTGGTGATTTATGATATTGCGGAGTTGTATACAATAGACAACCTATCGTAATTCTATTTCACCTTTTATGAAATCAACTTTCAACTCTGCGAGAACTGTTCAATCTTTAGGGAGCAAAAGGAATATTTTTGGTCGAAGTTGAAGAGCACATTTCTGATTGGAAGACCTTTGTTCCTAGACGAGGATTCTCTTCAATTGACCGAAAATTTGTCCAAGTATGGCATACACTTAACATTATTTCATAATTTTTGTTTACGTGGCGAAAGAGAAAACAAAAGAAAAAAGAACTAGGAAGAGAGGTAAAACCTTCAACTCTGACAAATTGGAATTTTGGACCCACCCCAATCAAAGGTCAACATACATAAATCAAGTTTGGTTTGAAGGACTTTTTAAATATTCTTTTCTGGGAGGTTGGTAAAATAGTAAAAAGTAAGAAAGGAGACGACTTTGAAAATTTTGTTGAAAAGTACAGAAACTTCTGTGCATTTGAGAGGAAGAATCTGTCTTGCACTTGTTCTTTGTAGCTAGGTTGTCCACTTTGTAATACATTTTCTTACAACAAATATATCCCTATAACCTAATCAATTTGTCCACTTTGTTAAATTATTGAATTATTTTTCTGAAACATAAAGAGTATATTTCAACTACATTTTAGTTCTTTTCAAGTTGATATTTTAGATTTATCTACCGATCGAGATGGTACAATGAAATTTAAAAAAATGATAACATAAAGTATACACCAGCAGTATTTCAACTTTATTATGTACGTACTGCGTGCAACAACAATTATTTGCACTTGTTAACATTTAAATTCAAATATTAGACCATGTACTCTATCCATAGTAAAATTATAAATAATCATTGTTCTATTCGATCGCAATATATGCTTTTTTTAAAAAACAAATAAACATTGTAATCCAACTTTTTTTGGTAAAAGAAGAAGAAGGTATTACTGTTCTTTTGAAGCAGAAATTCGAGGATGTTATAAAAAGACCAGAGTATTACTGTAGGTTTTTAGATAGCTTCGTGTGTGTGTGTGTGTATTGTTCAAAAGGTAAACTAGCATTACTTCTCATTTTGAAGTTTCTCTACACTTCTAACTTGCACTATTACATACAGGTAATGCAGTATATACAATCACTATATTGGCTAAGAATCGTATTTTTGAGGGAAAATATTTTTTGGAACAATTTAAAGTTTGCGCGTAAGACTTGAGAGTCAAACAATAAAAAAGACAGGATTGATAAACTATACCGTCTTAAGAAATCTTTTGCCATGTCGAAGTTGTTCCAACGTCACTTATAAAAAGAGAAAAAGTAGTAACAAGAAAACTCCAAGAATGTACTGGTGGATGGATATTGTTCATTAATGAACAAATATTATTATCCACAAAACTAATAGCTAGTCAATGGAATTGTTAATTTATTAGGTACTTCCTCCGTCCCAAAATAATTGTCCAGTTTAAGATTTCACTTTTAGTACAATTTGAACTAGAAATAAAAATTCAAACTGGACAATAATTATGGGACGGAGGGAGTATGTGGAAACCAGCTGAAAAACACACGTACGTGTAAATATTGTAGTTATATATTTGTATATTTACTGTGTATTTTTTTTACAAGGAAAAGAACTGAAGGATTCTTCGCAACACTTGTAAGCAACAACAAGACTTTCTGATTGTGGTGGTGTTGGTTGAATCGATAATTATTAACTGTAGACAAGCTGGCTTTAGCGACACACATAATTTTAAGAGATTTCTACAATTATATGATTTTCCATATAGAATGATAATTAGTAAAACACAATAATATTGTTGGTGTTTTCATCAGGTAATGTAATAGTTTGATCTTCAAAGATTGTTTATTTTTTAAAAAAAAAATTAAAAAAGGAAAAAGAAAAACATCAAATCGTGCTTCATAGAATTGGTCTACGCATGTAAAGGAATAATGGTTCTTAATTACTCGTTTGACTTTTTGTTCGTAATGTGCGTACTAGGTTATAATGTGGTGCAACCATGCTGTCCATGCATCAACTTCAGAAAAGCTAAATTTGACAAATGAAGACCACGATAGACTTTATTATTTTCTTCCGGAGCAAGTTAATATTTACTCCCTGGTACGAAAAAATAATTATATTGATTAAATTAAAACATTATCATAACTTTGTGAAAGAAAAATACATTAAATACTACTACTATTATCTTTTTTTTGTTGTTGTTGACGGAAGAAGAATAATATGATTCATTCCAAATGAAACTATAAGTTGGACCGTAAAACATTTGTAAGAGTATTTCATTAAAACAAGTTTACAGGGCTTCTCTAGTACTAACTAGTCCTGTGGAATTTCAACTTTACATATGATTTACTAGTAGGTAGATACGTAATTGAGCTCTTCTTTTAGTTCTAGCACAGTCCTATCGCAGGAACATAATATTATCGGTATTTTTTGCTCATGAAATGTAATATTATTGATAGTTCTCGCCGTTAATATATGTTGTAAAAGAAATGGCTTAATAATGGTTTAATATAACGTGGAAATTAACTCAGTCAATTTTTTTTTTTTTTTTGGTTAACCAATTAACTCAGTCAAATTAAAGAACACAGATTCACTACTAGGGAAAAGAAAACAAATAAAATAAAACATTCTGGCCAGCTGCCAACCACTTTGAAGTTACCTTCCAGTTTACGCTTTTCTTTACCTATATATAACGAATGAATGTTAGTCCAGAAATGAGCCAATTAAGTTAGATTCATCATAAAAGTGATGACAGAACCAAGAGAAATTAATAAAGCATTTGGCGGTATTAAGATGTTTTCGAGCTCGAAGTCGATGAAGATCACGGCGGTGTTTTTGCTGGCAGTAGTCCTATTTCTTGGTGCAATAATGGAAAGAAGTGAAGCGCCAACACCAACTGCTGCCCAGTGCAAGATGGAAAGGAGGCTTGGGATCAATGCATGCAAACCTGTTTTGTACGGAAGCCGGCCGCCGCCGGAGTGTTGTCAGCGTATCAGAATCACTCACGTCGAATGTGTTTGCCCTGTCATCACTCCTCAGTTAGCCGCACTCGTCGGCGACATCAACCGTGCCATAACCATTATTCAAGGCTGTGGAAGGGTTGTTCCCCGCCACTTCAAGTGTGGTAGTAAGTTCATATCCTCTTTCTCTTCTAGCCCTAAATTTTACACTCATACTCCGTACAGTCCTTATTATAAAATATTTTGATTTTTACTAATTTTTATTTGTTGTGTTATTCTAATAAAATAAAGCTTTAAAAATCAAATTTGTGTTCTCCCAATTATAAACTATTTTTAAGGTGTCATTTTCAAATGAAAAAATACAATAAATAAAATTCAAGGAAATCAAAATTTTTTAATAAGTACCAAATTAAGGGAGTGCTATATATTTCTTTTTTCTTTCGATGATATTTTTTCATCTTTTTATTTTGTGACGATCATCAGTTGGAAATATCACTTTATTTTTATTTTTTCATTTCATTGAAAATGGAGCTGGAAAACTTACTATTCTTTTAGTTACCTAAAAATAATGTGGACTATTTCAAACTCACTTGATTAATTATAATGTGAAAGTGTTATAAATTAGTAATGTATCAGATGCACGAAAGGCATATTTGGTTTGTGATACATGGTAAGACCCTAGACCATTATGTATGTTACATATTAGTATTACTAAAGTGAATAAAATTTTCAGGTATCACAACCCCTTGAGTCAAGCTATGCTGGTGCGGGGAGATTGAGGCATGAGAGTCCACCGATCATTCATGACGTCTACACGTTTCTGTATCACATATCTAGCTAGTACTATAATATTACTCCCTCTGTCCCAAAATTATTGTCCAGTTTGAAATTTCACTTTTAGTACAATTTGAACTAGAAATGAAATCTCAAACTGGACAATAATTATGGGACGGAGGGAGTATTAATTTGTCGGCAATTATCTATATTTATTATATAATAAAATAAACCATTATGATAAACTTAATGCACTTTTTTTTTTTTTTTTGGTTAACATGAACTCACTGCACTTTGATAAAACAAACTCCATTTGATCCAAAAACTAAGGGTGATAGTACTTAACTGGCCGCATAATTTCTCACACGGAAGTGGTATGTACATCCCGTTTCAAATTGTGTGCATTAGTTTTGTGAGGCATTTATAATTTGACTATATGTCAATATGCCCACTAAGTTGACAGGTTTGCATCCAATATGAGTATATGACAGTTTAAATTTCCTTCATATTAGAAAATCAACCACTTACACATGTTTTACTTGTACGTATCTGCTGATGCAAATCGCAAAACCGGCTATATTGACATCAATCACATGATAGAGCCTCACACGAAGACTATGATTTTTATAATAAGAATATCGGCTGATATATAATTTTCATACTTGTAAGCGAATTCATTGGAACTTTGTAAATTAAATAATTTACGTTCCAAGATTCACAAAAATCGAATGAATCCATCCATCTCATGATATGCAAAATAACAAAAATATGTGATAACATGCAAAAATCCATTAGAAGGACGATTAATTAGCATCCAACGTATTTAATTTAATATTGTCACCTATCATGTTATGAAGAAATTGAGTTTGTAGAGATATGCTACGTCTTTTATCTCACTAATTTTCCATCTATTCAAAAATTAAACTGTAAGTGAAAATTTAAACTGGACAATAATTTTGGTTAGAGAAGCAATGTTTTCAAAATTGAAGTTAAATGGTGAAATTTTATTTTATTATTATGGTTTGAAATTGATAAGGTATAAAAAATAATATGAGAGGAAAAAAAAAGAAAAAGGAAAATAAATAATATGTAATTAAAATTGAAATGTTTTTTTTTTTCAATTGTACAAAAGAAAATGCTAAACAACTAGGGTCACATCAAAATTACTTTACGGCTTTTGTCAAATCATGAGGGGCTCTTCGTAGTTTATGAAACTATGGGGGTCATCTATAGGTTTCCTAAACTACGAGGGGTTATAATTGGAAAAATAGAGTTTGATAGGGACTTTGGTATATGTGCTTAATAAATTAGGGGCCTAATTCATAAATATGTGGGAATTCCATTACACAGACAAATTTGCTCTTTTGGCAGTTTCGTTATTTGTAGAGTTGTAAGAACTGGAAAACTGGGTCTTATAGCTATTTATAAAGGCGGGAATACGGTGGCGGCAATGTTATCCTTGTGCAGCTCAAGGTACAGATTCTTTGCTGGAAGATTTTAAATTCCATGTATTGTGCTTATAATAGACGTGTCTGTGATGAGTTTGGTTTGGATTAAGTTTGAATTTTTTATTTTATTTTTTTAAATGTAAAGATCTTTGTGATGTGTATTAATCTGCCCTTTGATCAGTTCTGTAACTGATATATTGATTCTTTTTTCTTGTTTCTTCTTCTTTTGGTTTCATAGATAAATTGAAGATTTTAGGTGTCAATGGATTTTGACCTTTTTGATGATATGCCCCAAACAGTTAGGGCTGGTGGCAAGTTTCAACCTAAAGCTAAGCCACGACCCTTTGCGAAGAAGAAGAATGTAGTAGGTGCCACTCAGCCCGTTTCGGCTGTTGATATTGTAAATTGTACTGGAGGTTTTGAAGCAGGAGTTGTGGATGGTTTTTTGTCTGCTGGTAAAACTGATAACTGGCATTCTTGCGTCGAAAATCCCATTGGAGAGGTAAAGTCTTTTTACCTTTAATTAGTGTATGTCGTATATGGACGAGGTTATATAATCACTGATGAATCCTTTTATAACTTTTAGAATGCAGACATATTTATTGGTCTGGAATCACTTGATGATGATATCCTTCCTAGGAAATCGACTATTTTGGGTGAGTAGTGTCCAATTTTGCTCATAATGTGCTCTTCTTTTCCCTTTGTATTTTTAAGTGAGAAATTGTTGGCGGTGAGGTATTGAGTTGAGACCGACAGGAAGTGCGAGCGAGTTAATCTGATTTCTAACTATAATGCTGATGCAGGTAACCCCGTTCCTTCTGAAGAACCAATTGTTTATGTTTCTGACAGCACTGGTGCTGAACATGATAGACTCGCACTTCCCCTTGATTATTCGGTTGATATTTCTGCCAGCGTTTCTAAAATTCGCACCAGCTCCTCTCTTTCCGATATGCCAGCATCTCAAGATCCATTCACCCGTGCGGATCCTATTGTTACCACCAACCGCCACCTTACAGATAATCAAAACTTGGACATTGAGGTAAATACCATTTTAGCATTCATCGCATTGAACTGCTTTTGTTGCTTCCAGTGTAAAATTTTTCATGCAAAATATCTGCTATTACACCTCATATTAAATGTTTCTTGCGATACCAGTGCTGCTGCATCTTGGGTTTCATTTTATTCAACAATCTGATGCTGGTCTACCCTGCCCTTAAGTCTGTTTTTGTGTTTTCACTCCTGCAAAGAAAATTTATCTTTTTCTTTAATTAAAGACAAAAACATAAATGATTTTTTATGCCTTGCTCAAATTCAGATTTTAGAACTAAGATTCCCTCCAAACTTCTCACGATTGCTGGAAATGCAGGCCTATCCATGCTTGGAAAACCTAGATATGTCAGAGTTCACATCCAGCTTTGGTCACCGGACTGGAAAAATGCAACCAATCTTAAAGAGGCAGGCAAATAGATCGAGGAATGATACTGACATTCATGATCAGGATGTAGCTGAGCCTTTTAATCATGATGGGAATACCCCATGGTCAGGTCCTGCTTTTACCAACGATAATGTCATTGAACTTTCATCCATACGACTATGTAAATCTGCTCCTTCACAATCCACATCTGAAGTTCTAGAAGATGAAGTATGCACGGATTTTAGGGGGTTTTCCCATCAAGGTAGTGTTATTTCAGGAGAAAACTTAGAGGCGGGTCACGAATTACTTGGAGAACTCGTAAGTTATCTATATTTGAGTTGTTTATGTGTTCTCTTTTAGCTTTGCTGTTGCTTATGCCTTTTTGGTACTCTCTGTAAACTTAGGCTTCACCTAGGGCAAATGCTGAAAATGATGAAGTTCACGTGGCATCAGAATGTTCAGTACAGCATCAGGCCTCGAAATCCAATGAGACAATAGTGGCTTGTAGAGTACTTAGAGAACGGAGAAGGCCACTAAATGGTCACAAACTCATGGATGATTCTGAGGGTGAGGAGGGTCTTGAAAGTGCAGATCTCCCAGCCGAATCGCTTTATAATCCTATTGTCAATGAGGGTGATATGACCAACGAGGAAATTCGATTGGATGATAAACCCCAAAAGCGAAAATCACCAGACAAGAGGTTTGAGACTGAGAAAGAGAAACCAGTTAGGAAGAGGCGGAAGAATAATACTAAATCATTAGACGCAGCTAAACCAGGTCCTAAGAGATTTCCTCACTCTAGTCAGAGGAGAAAAGGTACTTAATATGTTCAAATTGAGAGTTGTGCATTAACACTTGAATTTGCTACTTAGCTCATCTCCTGTTCTGTTTTTACAGTTGACAAAGCCTTACTGGAAATTCCTCAAGACGAAATAGACATCCGGAAGGTGATTTTTAAGGATGCAATTAGGCTTATGGAGCACAATGAGAGGGTGAAAGTATATTTCTTACTGGATGTTATTTGATTTTCTTTCATATTTTGGAGCCTAAAAACTTGTTCTTTTAAAGTAATGAAATATTTTCTGACGTAGTTGAATCGGTGAATGGCTAAGTTCTTTATATAGTTTTTACTCCACACTTTTAACATAAATTGATTTCTCTTGGATGTGTCTTTCACAGAAAAAGGAGGCAAAGTCATTGAAAGAACAGCTTCAGAATCAGCGGTAAGAAAATCGTGTTTGATGCAATTTTCATAACCTCTCTTTGAGTGCCACAGGGATTTCATGAATATAGTGTGTAGACATATGCCGACCATTGATTTTATCTTGTTATGTTCTTATGTTAACAGAAATGAGAGCAAGGTCTCTGCTTTGTATTTAACTAATCATCATTAAATTAATTCCCTTATAGAAATCATGCCTTCTGCAGAAATTGTTTATGATGTCAATATGTATCTGTAGTTCGGCATGGTCAACCTGGCAATTTACTGAAAACGTTTTTGTTTTTGGTGCTTTTTTTTTAATTATTATTGATCAACTACTGCATCTGGTGACAATTTTTGTTTCATAGGAATGCTAATCACACCGTGAATGACGACGAAGATGAACCTTTTGGTGATGTAAGCTATGATGAAGAAAGACTTAGGGATGAAGGTACCTCCATCAACTATCAGAGTTTCATGCACAAAACTCCAAGATCAAGATGGTCGAAGCAGGACACAGAAGTATTCTATCAGGTTTTTCTAGTTTGGACTCTTTAAATTTAGGAAGGGGTAGAAGTAATTATTTGTTGTTGTTTGATAGAAGCTGTTAAATTTGTCATGTATTTAAGGGTGTCCAATTTACATCTTATTGATGCTAGAGGGAAAAATTTGCAGGCTTTGCAGCTGTTCCACACTGATTTTTCATGTATCCAAAGGTGTTATTTTCGTGACAAGACACCTCGGCAGATTTTATCGAAGTACAAGAAAGAACACCAACAGAATCCTTCACGGATTCGTGAAGCTCTTATGAATCCCGCCAAAGGTAAATCTTGCTTCCTGAAAGAACCTCGATAGTGTAATAGTTGAGTTACTCAATGTGATATGGAATATTAAATTTTGATAGAATTGTTTGACATATCATTGCTTGGTCTTGAACATCTTTTCGATCTTGGATCAGAAATAGAGATTTTGAAACAAGTTGCGGCCAAGATCCAAGAAATCTGCAGAGCTAATTCAGCCAGCTTGACAGAAGAGGAAGATGAAGAGAACCCTGATGCTGATGTAAACATGGTTGTGGTTACTTCTACCTTTTGCATCTCTGTTTTACCTTTGTTTTCTTTGAAAGAGTGTAAGAAGTGATTTAAATCCTTCATAGAACTGAATTTGGTTTCCTTTTCGAACATGTGAAAACATGAAGGGAGACCTTCATATTGTGCCTTTCTTGTTTTCTGATGTCTGATTTTGTACTTTTTAATTCTTGGATGTGAACAGAATGAGGAATCAAAGTCTGAGGAGATTGATGAAACAGCAAAGTCTGAGGAGATCGATGAAGCCATTGCTGACGGAACTATGAGAGCAGATGTTGAAGAGACTCACGGCTCTACTTTAGATCTCCAAGATAGTGACAATGATGATGATGATGATGATCTCTCCCGATGGAGCCAATATAAGAGTGATCTCTAAATGTGATGGCCAAGTCGGACTTTGTTTTTTTTTGGTGAAGAACTGTAAACTTTGCATTAGCTCAAAATATGGAGTTTGGAGTACAAGCTTCCTACCAAAAATTGCGCTATTTACATCAAATGTACACTCTAAAACACATTCTTTCCATTACGGGAAAAGATTGTCAAAAATACTTTGCTCCACTGTTGAGATTTTCCTGCTGTAGCACATCTGTACCCTGATCTTCACCTGCTTCTGGATTTCTTGGAATATGCTGTCCACACTTCTGCTTTGGGTTTTGAAAATCCTGGAGTTCCTCCCCTCCCAAATGCTATAGATTCCTGTGCCACAACTACAGAATACAGATTCCTCTTTTTCATGTTGGTTGATTTCCACATGTATAGAATCTCCTTGTGCCAACTACACCTCTGCACTGAAAGTCTTCTGATACCTAGCCAGCTTTTGATTTTGTTGAGCAGTTCACTAGAAAACTTGCAGCTGAAAAACAGGTACTCAAGTGACTATGCCTGATCCCCACATAAACAACATACTGGATCCTGTACAGGGATATTTAGGTGGCTTAGCCAGTCCTTGGTCCATACTCTGCCTTTCCAGACCAGCCAAGCAATGAAAGCATGCTTAGGGATGTTCATTCTAGACCAAATAACAGGAGCAGCAGACATTTTTTCCCCTACCCCCTGAAGCCATTTATACCCAGAATTGATGTAATACACTCCATTCTTGTTGTGTTTCCATTTACTCAAATCAAACTCTTCTTTGGTCTTATCTCTCAGTTTGAGAATCTGCTTCCAGGACCAGCTACTATCCATTTTGCTTTCCACTTCCCAGATACTCTGCCCCTTTAAATACACTTCATACATCCACCACAGTCAGAGGCTTCTTTTGCACTTGTCAATCACCACAGTTGTTTCAAAATGGCGGCTTCATTCCAAAATGGCGGCTTCATTTCAAAATGTCAATTCTTTAGCCCTCCTTCTTTCTTCTTCTTACACACAACATCTCAATCAACTAGTGCAGAATATCTGCATGAGGCTCTAACCCTCCATAGGAATTCTCTGCACTTTCGATTCACTGCTTCTGTAATGCTATGGGGCAAAATAAAGGCTGATGACCAATATACATGCATATGTAGTAAGATAGAGTTGATAAGTTGGAACCTTCCGGCATACGATAAGTGCCTTGAGCTCCAACAATTCAATCTACTTACTATTTTATCTGTAACAGCCTGACATTCTACTTGGTTCTATTTTTTCGGGGACAATGGTACTCCTAGGTATCGTATGGGGAATCTACCCTCTTTGAACTCTGTGACTTTATGAATCTTCATTTTCAAGCTCTCATTTACCCCCTCCTACAAATATTTCAGATTTTGATGGATTGGCTTTCAGGCCAGAGGTTTCTGGAAACTCCTTAAAAGCCACATTGATAGATTCTATAGTGGGTAGGTCAGCTTTGCAGAGTAACATTAAGTCATTTGCAAAGCATATATTTGACAACTTCATTTTGACAGAAGAACTAGAATCTAGGGTTTTCTACTATTTTTTTGAGTAATCTCGTTAAATACTCCATGAACGGTACAAAGATTAGGGGGTATATGGGGTCTCCCTATCCTAAACCTCTTTTTCCCTTAAAGAATCCTACATTTGATCCATTAATACACAGGGAGAAAGAAGTGGTCCGTACACACTCTGTTATCTAACCCGTGAATGTCCCAGGAAACCCATAATCATTTAGACATTCTTCTATAAAATCCCAGTCTACAGTGTCATAGGCTTTTTGCATGTCTATCTCCAATTCTTCATCATACACCTACAACTATCCCTTTTCTTCTATACAAACGTATTAACTCTTGCGTAATCAAAATATTATGCAAGATCACTCTACCCTCCACTAAAGCACCCTAATTCCCATCAACAAGTACAGGAAGAACCTTTTTTAGTCTATTACAGAGTACTTTAGATATCACTTTATAAAGCACATTACAACAGGCAATAGGTCTGTATTGATTAGAGTGGAATGCATTTTCTACTTTAGTAATTAAAGCAATTAAAGTAGAGTTTGTTTGTTTTAGCATCATACCATTTTCGAAGAATTTCATGACAGCTTCTGAGACTTCATATCCAGTGATATTCCATGTTGCTTTGAAGAAATCACTGCCATATCCATCTGGTCCCGGACTTTTGTTGATGCTGATGCTCCACAAGGCTCTTTTGATCTCTTCCTTAGTGACAGGGGCTATCAACTTCAGTTGCATGTTCAGGTCAAGTCTGGGGCCTTTGAGGAACACTTCATGTCTAGTCAACTTCCTTGTAACTTTCTGACCCAGCTGTATTTGAAAGAATGCCAGGAAACGGTCCACAACCCGTTTTCAGTCTCTAACAATCTCCCCCTTTTCATCCATAATTGACCAGATTTTATTCCTCATTGATTTTTGTCTCAATTTGGAATGAAAAAACTCGGTATTGCTGTCTCCATCTCTAATCCAATCTTCCTTGATCTTCTATCTCATGAAGCTATCATAAGCTATATATTTGCTGATGTATTCCTTATAAGCAGCTATTTCTTCTTGTTGTTGTCTCTTTGCATTGGGATGTTGTATCAAGTTTTGCTGTTTCTGCTCTAAGTTGATATGTGCCTGTTGCAGCTAGATCTGAACATCAGAGAAACATCTCGTACTCAAAGCTTTTAGATCTTTCTTCAACATTTTCATCTTTTTGACCACTGTAAATATCTTAGTGCCTCTCATTCTTATCCCCCATTTATTCCCTACTACTTCTTTAAAAGATGGATCAAGCTTCCACAGTTGAAGTATTTGAATGGTTTGGGTTGACTATGCATCTCCATTTTTAACTGCACCAGCATTGGGGAGGCGTCTGAGATCCCCTCAGTGAGTACAGTGGTAATAGAGTGATTGAATTGCTCCACCCAGTCTCCATTCACCATTGTCCTATCAAGCTTTGCATATATTCTAGAGCCCCCAACCTGCTTGTTACACCATGTATAAAGAGAGCCTTGCTGTTTCAAGTCTTGCAGGTCACACTCTTCAAAGCATTGCTTGAGCGGTTCTATTTCATTTAGGGCCACTGAAACTCCCCCTAGTTTCTCCTCTTGTGTTAGCACGTTGTTGAAATCACCACAAACCCAACCATGCTGTTTCCACTGTGTTACTTATATCCATTATTGCCTTCCATAAATCTTCTCTTGCTTGCATCTCATTACTGGCATATAATCCAGTCATGACAAATTCCTCTCCACTCTTCTTTATAGACACATTGCAATGAATAAAATGCTCAGAGCTGTTCAGCACTTGGACCTCCACTGAATCATCCTATACTAATAGTACTCTACTTTTACTATCTTGACTCCCATTTGTCTTGTACTGCCACTGTGGGAGTAAGCTTTTCATAATCTCTTGTACCTGATCATTCTTCATTTTTATCTCAACAATACATGCTAAGTTGATCTTATTTACAGATAGGACTCTGAGGAGTTCCTTCTGTTTTATAGGGGCATTGATGCCCCTGATATTCCACATTAAGATCTTACACATGAAACATTGGGATCAGGATCTGATTCTATATCCATCTTTCCCTTGTCTTTCCCACTGCTTTCCCCTTCAAACTCCTTTAACAGTCTCTGGATGTCTTCCTCAGAGGATCTTCTCAGATCTGTGAAACAAGCAGGGCTCTATTTTTTATTCTTGGCTAACCATAATGGACCCCTGGTGCTTAGCTTCTACTCGAGTTGTTGGGTTATCCTCCTCCTTCTTGCATTTTTCCACTCTTCTCCATTCAGTGTCTTCACCTCCTTTCTTGTGGTCAGTTGGTTTTGGTGTATTAGCAACCGCTTACTTTTGTTTCCTGCAGTTTTTTGTATCATGCCTGTAACCATCACAGCAACCACAAACAACAGGTTTCCATTCATAATGTATCCTTTGAGTCTGTACCGCTCCTTTCTCATCTTCAAATAACACCTTATCCAAGACTTCCTGTTTAATTTCCATTTCAATCAACAGTCTAGCATAATGGACTCTTTTCCTACTTTCAGTGAGTTCATCTGTCATAATTGTGGTTCCTAGAGTACTAGCAATACTACTCAGAGAATCCGCATTCCAGTATTTGAGCTCCAAGTTAGGAAATTGGACCCAAACCGGTACACTACTCACATCCTTATACTTAATCCCTTCATCAACCGTCTAAGGTTTAACTATTACTGGATGCCCATTACCAAAATGATAAATGTTCAATTTTAGAGCTTCTTCCCTAGCATGCATTAACTTAAATCTAATAAGAAATAAATCAGTAGGCAAAAGAACCTTATCAACTCCAAGGTGTCCCCAAATTTGTCTGTAGTAGGCATTCATGACTTTGTAAGGGGGATGGGCTCCCAAGACATGGCTGACCACTGATGGTGCCCAGTATTCTGCTTCCACTTCGACCTTCTGTAGTTGAATCTTTACCACTGGCACTCCATTGACTACTGGGGGGGGGGCTTGAACTCGAGCTTGACTCAAATCTTCTTAAATCTATTGACAACAAAATTCTCCCATGTTTTGGCCTGTTCTTTCTTCTCCGTTAGTTTCAACTCTGTTGAGACAGCTTTCCCCTCTGATTCCATCATCCTGTGTACTTGATTGCCCGCTTTTGGAAGCCCGTTATCCTTCAATTGTTCTAGATCCCCAACATCTCTAGGGTTTCATCTGGGTTCTTCTTTGGTGATTTGCTGTTTTTACTCAGATTAAGCACTTCCTCCACAGTATCAGTGTTCTCCTTATGGTTTCCTGTTGATTTTGATACTTTTTAGGGGACTTTCAGCCCTGGTTTCCTCCCTCTGGACATGGCGTAGCGTATGTTAGCAGTTTGCTAACGTGCGCCTAGAGAAACGGGAGAGGAGAGAGAAAGCCCGTATCTATCGACAAGAATTATCTCAAAAAAAAAAAATCAAAGTATTATTGGGTTAACTACTTTCCTCCCTTTTTCATATTTCTCTCCTAATCTTTTCCTCCAACTTATATTCAAATTGATCATCGTCATCTGATTTATCACACATCTATTTATTTTCTATTTTGAATACAATATACCACGGCAATGGAGATGATGGTATACTAATACTTTTTTAGCATTAAAAAACTAATTTTTTATTAAAAATTTTAAAGCCTAAACACCTTACCATTACTAAGGAAAGTTATTTTACTAATGGTCAAGATGCTGCCACTTGTCAATGACTGCAAGTCTACAAAGTACTAATTCTTGGTACAATTTTTTATCAAAAAGGGCAAAAAAATAAAGATAAATAGGCCTCGGTCCTGAGGATTGAGCAACGAAGAGGACGAAATAAACTCTAAAGAACCCGTATTTTATCCTTATTTCTTATAAAAGAATCATCTTCAATTATATTTTCAATGATAAATTAATATTTTGATTAGCTGAGAGACTCCCGATGACATCAGTAATTTTTAAAAGGGTTATAATCGTCATTAATTAAATACAATATTTCTTTAAAACATTTTCCCCCAATAAACGTAAAAAACACCAAACAAAATAATAACTTGAACCTCAAATTTTAGAATGACGTCGTTTTGATTACCAAATAAAAGAAAACCCCCTATTTTAACATCAGAGTTTCTACGCTTGGCCTTTTTCCCACCGGTGTTCTCCGGATTCCGTTCATTCCCAATTTGAGACTCCAATTTTTCATTGTTTCACCTCTTCTTCCGAGCAAATTACAGCCTCCAAATTTGCTGACGAAAGTATCGATGGTGGAGTGGTGTTGGTAGAGGCTTAGAGGATGGGGTGCAGAAGGTGGAACTGGTGGTGACCTTAGAGGTTTCACGGTGGTGCTCCAAAATACCCCTCCCGAGATCTTATCATGGTAGTTACCTAACCTAATTCGCTCCACTCAATAGTTCCGTTTGTTTTTTGGAGGATTCAAAACAAAGCCCAGTTGATTTCTCTCAACAAAAGATGCTAAATATTGAATATGGAGTATTGAAGCTATGAAATCGATTCTTTCTAAGGGACGAGAACGTATTCAAGAGGAAGGAGGTGAAGGGTATTTCTGTAGAGAAAGGTTTACAAACGGAAAAGATAGGTGATTGTTTGCAATCCCTCGCATCGGAAAGTGGTAATCCGATTTGCTTGATTGTGAAAATTACTAAATTACTAATTTACCCAGCACAAATTTATTGCTAATAAAAAAGGTATCAATAAAATTGGAAAATCTTTGTTCTGCGCTAGATGTTGTATAATGTTAAATATTGTACGATTTTTTTTCCAGCTTCAATCTTTTAGAATGCTTATGCTGGTTTGCTCTGTCTAAGATGTGTATTTGTGTTTTGTGAAGTATGCAAAATTTTGTGGCTCGCAATCGTTTGTTTATGTTAAGTTGGGCAATTTCTTTGGGCAAAATGCACTTTGGTCTGGGGTTGAATTGTAAGGCTGGTTTCCTGCATGATGATAGAGGTAAGCATCATTTTATCTGTACTAAGTTGGTTCTAACTGAAACAAGTTACGCATATTTCCATTCCTTACTGTTTTGGTTTTATTGCCAAATTTGGAATAAAAGTGTCGTATTGTGGACTTCAAATATGGAAAAGCAATTTTTTTTGTTTGGGTAAAAGTTGTTTTAATTTTCAACAGCTGCATCTCATACTTCTATTGTTGTATGTTTGAGAGTTGAGTGCTTTAGCGATCTAGCATACATACATCATTCTTTGTAGCTTTCCATCTTCTGTTTTTATTCAATTGCATGGAGTAGTTGAATAAGGCTCCAAGTTTTCAACCTTCACTTAATGTTTTTTCTCTGTTTGTAAAATACAAGTGCCTAAAGATTTTTCTTAAATTTCTGCTAACCTACTATTTATTTCCCTGCTGCTATGATTCACTCTTTAATTCTTTTCAAAAAGTGAACTCTGTAGACCGGAATTCATTGGATATGCTCATGCAGGGCTTAGAAAATAGTTTGGGTCTTAGAATATGAACTGGATATGAGTTTTTTCTTGTTTTTTGGTGGATGGTCAGATCATAATGAGAGAATTGGTGCAGTTAGGCCTTCAACTTGTTTGACTATTGCTATCAAAATGAGAGAAGATATGAAAAGCTAATCAACGATGCGTGATGTCAAATTTTAGACTTTAGCCTACACAATCCAATTTTTGTCTTATTGAATTGGACTATTTATTTCGTGTTGCTTTTTGGCTTCACGTGTACTAAGTTTTTAAAAGACAAAAATTGCTCCTTTTTTTAGCTTTGTGCATTGATCTGTTTGAATTATGATACAGAAATTGTTTCAGATTTGTGAACGGCCATTGTGTTACCAGCCCCCGACTTCACTAAAAATGAATAAAAGTGTCGCGTTCTTTTGCCAACGCCTTCATTGAAGCAGAAGAAAAGAATTGCCAATTTTTGCAGGTACTTAGATTTGTGAGCCGGAACGCTGGTCTTGGATGGGGACACAATAATCAATGGCAAAGGAGGACAAGAGAATGGTGCCTGAAAGCATAATATCCATTTGTTTCTGTAGCTCTGGATGGTTGTACTAATTTCAGAACCTAATAGTTGAGTCATTGAAGCAAGAAAGGGAACTTCCTGACATGGCTGCTTTTGTTCCCCAATCTTTTAGAAAAAGGTTTGGCCTATTATTTGCAGCTGTTGAATATCTTGATTATTGTATCTGAATTTGCGTATTTATGCTCATCATAATTTTCATATTTGAGTGATTAGATTCTGCAATGAAAAAATATTTTTGTTCTGTTATTCTTTGCTTGTCCGCTAGAGCATAATTAAGAACATTTACATTTTGAGGCACTGAGATTAGGAACTTGTAAGGAAGGCTTTATCTCTGTTTCTATATCAATTAAGAAAGTCTTACATATGACTACATTGAAGGAGAATTTGGTAAATTAGCTATCTGAAAATTCTTCTCTCGGTGCATTTCATGCTGTAGGTGCAAATGATCTTATTTGATGGTCTAACAAAGTAAAATTCGGTGTGTTTTTGTTTCAAAATAATTAGTTGTCCAAGATATGACAAACAGGGTATCTAGAATATTTAAGTACTTCAGAGAATGAGAAACATGACCACCATCGAAGCTACAAATTTTTTAGTCGTCTAAGTATGTTAACTCTATCTTTCGCTTGAAGAGAAATTACAAAACAAAATGTTTTAGAACTGTTTCAGACATTTTACCATATTTTTATGGTAATCCCTGCTCCTCATGATCCGCCATATTACAGAAAGCTTGTCATAGACTCATAGTATACAAAAGTTGATCATTGAACAGCTCTGTTGGTTTTGATTTAAGAAAATGGCCAGTTCCTGGTCTATCGTTTAACATTTGGGGTTGATTGATTGTTGCATTAATTTAATTTTTGCCTTTCCCCATGACCTTTAGTCATTTATGCTTTTTTTACAAATTCTGCATTGTATCTGTATTCCAATTGCTTAACAATATAAAGATGTTTGCATATGCAGATTTGCTTCATCAATTCATAATTTCCAGTTAATATAATCTGATATCTCTCTTTATCTTTCAGGTGATTTCATCGCATGTATTCATTCTGGCGCCCCCTTTCTGTTACACCTCCTTCTTTCCTTCATCCTTTGCCACATTTAATCCATCTATCCTTCTGGAGAAGGGATTTGTCATTATCTTGGCTGTACTCAAATAGATTCATGCTTTGTTGCTGATAGTTTTTTTTTTGATGAAAAGTTCATTCATTAGGAGCAACAATCATTTGCAGCATTCCAGAGAGAACAACGATGATGATCCAGGTGAAGAAAATGGAAGGAGTAGCAAGCAATTTGCCAAGTGTCATGAGGGGAAAACTGATCATGAAGAACAAAGCAAGGAAGAATATGACATTGCATTGCTTTGTCCAGTCAGGAATCCTAATTTTTATTGTGAATCAGGAGATGGGCCAGGTGAATCTTCTTCAGAGAAAGGGGGACTGAAAAAGCCTGAATATGTTCTGCCAACGACTGCAAGAAGAGGGAAGCCGAAAGCATGTTCAAAATGGCAGAATATCAGGGAAGTTGTTGACCTCAAAAATTATGGAGCCAATGAATTGTTGAAGAAAATCAGGCAACATTCTTTGTCTTGTGGACATTCAACTGAAAGATTGGCTCATTGTTTCGGGACTGCCCTAGAAGCTTGGAAGCCAGGAGTCGGTACAACTTTGTACACATCAGACAAGTAAAACAGAATAAGCTTTTGATACATTCAACGCTTCGAAGGCCTATTTATGGATCTGTCAATTTTAGTGAATGCCTACTTTTATGCTAACAAGAATATTGCAAAACCAATAGGCAATACGGCGAGGGTTCACATAATTGATTTTGGTATTTTGTATGGATTTCAGTGGCCACTGTTACATGGAATTTCCCTCCCAAGCTCAAAATCTGTGGAATTGATCTCCCACAGCCTGGATTTCATTCAGCCGAGAGGATCGTGGAGACATGGCTTGGCAAGCTAAGGCGATTTAACATCCCTTTCGAGTTCCACGCGATTTTGAAGCGATGCGAAACCATAACTGAAGATGATCCGATGATTGACCGAGATGGAATTGAAGCCCTAATTGTGGATTGTGTTTATAGGATTAGAAATGTCCCTGATGAAGTTAAAACAACAATCCAGAGCAACGGAAATCCTTGTTTTAGTCCCAGGGATTGCGTCCATAACCTGACTGGCACCAAAATCCAGCTGTTTTGTACACAGAATCCTGAATGGAACTTTCAGCGCCCCATTTTTCGAGACTCGATTCAAGGAGGCAATGTACCATTTTTCTTCATTATTCGACATGTTTGAGGCCACATTGGCGCGGGAAGATCCCGACAAGATGATGTTTGAGAAAGAAGTGACGGAAGGGGAAGTGATGAATGTGGTGGCCTGTGAAGACAGTGAAAAGATAGAGAGGCCTGATAGTTACAAGCTGTATTGTGAGGTCATGTTTTTTTTTTTTTTTTTAATTTCCTTATAAAATAAAGTAACAGTTCGAATGTGTATAGTTTGAGGTCATGTTTCAGTAAGAATATACTACTCCCTCCATCCCAAAATTATTGTCCAGTTTGAGATTTCACTTTTAGTACAATTTAAACTAAAAAAGAAAACCCAAACTGGACAATAATTATGGGACGGAGGGAGTATTACTTTTTTATATTTGTATAATCTGATACATAAATTTGAGTCATTTATTTTATTTTTTTATTATTTATTTGTAGATGTTCATATATTTATTATTCGTAAACTGGGGAGTGTAACAAAAGAAATATGGCTAAATATAAAAGGACATAAAACAAAACAAAAAAAATTTAAAATATCGCTAAAAATTCCGTTATTCATCACAAAATTTAATAAACATTATATTGTGTCATAAAGTTATTATTAATATCAAAATTATTTAATGGAAAATGGTCACGCGATACCGAACAAACTAGTTATAATAAAAAGAATGGTTTAATTTAATATTGCCACCACTCATGTGTGTGTTTGGTTCGTTTTCTTAGTGTGTGTTTTTAGGTATTTTTTGTATTGAGAATATAAAAAGGTGTGTTGAAAATGTAAAAAGGTATATTGGGATGGGACAATTATTAATAAAATATACTGAAAAAACCATAAAAAAAGCAAACAAACAGAGTCATGAGTTTGTATAGATATGCTACATTTTGTATCTCACAAATTTTCTATCTATTTCAAATATAAACTGCTAGTGAAACTAAACAAATTTTTTGGACAGGGAAGTAGTATTTTCAAAATTAAAGTTAAATGACGAAATTTCATTTTATTACTAGGTTTGTTCCATCCGCGCTTCCCTTTTTCACAAACATCTAGTAATTAAAAAGATAATAAAAGAACAAATGGTATGAATTAAACTATATTAATTAATTTTTATATTTTTATCTGAGTATTAAATTATTTATGATCAGTAAAATAAATTAAATTAAAAACACCATTTCTTATATGTTTTTCTTAATCTTTATCTACATTATTAAGTGAAAATCATTTTAAAAAGTAAGAGAACAAAATCACAACAAATAAAGAGAGATAACATTACACAAATTTCTGACTAGGTTGTAATGACCAGAAAATGGAGCAGTTGCCAAGTGTGTAAATTTCTCTCTCTTCTTGAGAGTTTTGGCTCTCCCCGTAGGCGGGAGTTGGTTTCCTCTTTCAAAATTTGAAAGTTTTCAAAAATTTCATTAAAAAAATTTCAAAATTTTTTACAAAAATAAAAGCTTTTGGTGTCCTTTGTACGAACTATAGTGTTTCTGGATAAAACTAAAGGCAACAACACATTCAACTAATAGTCTAAGCAACCAAATATAAACACTAGTAAAAATCCTTGTAGTAAATGCCATAGAACTAAATGCTTTCTTTGGATAGCCTGCAAATAATTTATGCTCTAAATCTTTCTTCTTGACACTTGTCCCATTTTTTCTTCTCGCTTTTACTACAGGACTCGTTGACCAGCTTTGGGTGAAAATTCAAAGTGGAATTCAATTCAGATCTGTCGTAGTAGATAGGGAAGGACAAAATGGAGAGAGAGATAATGGAGAGATTCAAAACATTTTCTTTGTCAGAAAAAGAAAAAGGGGGGAGAGAGTTAATCCACAAACATATCGAAAAGGGGATGGAAGAAGAAAATCGAAGCTTAGTGGGCAAGGTCTTCAGTGAGAAAAAGATGAACTTTTACGGAGTCAAGAATGCCATGAAGAAGGCTTGGCGTCACAGAGGGTTAGTCGGGGTGGAGCAGATCCAGTCGAACACCTTCCAATTTATCTTTGCAAAATCGGAGGACCGCGAATCGATTATGCGACAGCGCCCCTGGTCATTCGATAATCACTTCATAGCATTGCATAACTGGGAAGTGGAGATGGATTTTAATGCGTATTTCTTCAACTTCTCGCCGATCTAGGCGCAGATCTGGAACGTCCCAAGGCACTGTCTATCTCGAGAAACAAGATTGGATCTGGGAGATCTGGTTGGAGCTGTGAAGGATGCAATAGTTCCTGAGGTAAGCGGTTTTGAATATAGACATGTTAAAGTACTTGTAGAAATGGACTTGTGAAAACTTCTAGTTAGAGGAACCCTAGTTAGAAACAAAAGTAAAGAGGTTTGGGTTGAATTTCGTTATGAGAATCTGCCAGGTTTCTGTCAGTACTGTGGGTGCATTGGGCATGTAGATAAAGGTTGCGAATCTAGGGCTACAGATGCAGAGATGGGTAGATTGAAGGAGGGGCAATATGGGCCATGGTTAAGGGCGGGATTTTGGAGAGAAGGACTACAGGAGACTCTGAGTGGAGAGAAAGGTGAGGGGGTTACAAGAGGGAAAGAAAGGGAAGGATAAGGGAGTGGTTTTACAGGGTCAGAAGGGTCAGGAGGTAGATACAAGGGAGGGAGAAAACAAGGAAGTAAAGGAAACCTTGAACTTCAGTTTGTGGGGGGAAAAGGGGAAACCAGTTGTGTGGAAATAGAGCAGGATGAGTGGGAACAGATGAGTTTAAGGGAGAAGGAGAAAGTCACTCATGAAAAATGAGGGGGATGGGTAGTTGAGGAAGATAGTTTAGAGGATGGAAATGTCATGGAAGAGTATAGTAGCGAAGAATCAATGTTACAAGGGGTAAAAACGGGGGCAAATTTCATGCAGAAGTTTTTAACAATGGAAAGATCCCGAAACATGTCTATGAGGACTTTATGAGACCAAAAGTAGAGATGATAAAAGACATGAGGAGTCCTTTTGACGACTTAACTAACAAGATGTGGAACAGGAGTGCGTTGGAAAGCAAGAAAGTAGATAAGAGCAGCAAAGGGGACACAGGTGCACAGAAAAGTGGCAATAGAAAGGGGTTGTGGAAGAAGATGGCGTGAGGGGAGATAGCAATGCAATCTAATGAAGTGGAGAACAGGGATGAAGTAATAAGAGACAAGCGCAAAAGGGACAGGATGATGATGGAAGGTAAAGAGGAGATGAATCAGGAAGGATGTAAGAAGGTGAGGCAGAATGATGATGTTAAGCAAGAAGGGGAGGCAATCAACAGCAATCAAGGAAATGTACAGGTACTGGAAGCCAGCCTAAAATGGCCCGAAGTTTCCCAATGAGTACATCAATGTGGAACTGTAGGGGGTTGGAAGGGTCGTCTATGGTTTCATAACTAAAAGAATCATGCGGGCTCTATAAACATGAGGTAACCTTTGTTTGTGAAACAAAGAGGAAAAGTTATTTTATTAAGACTGTAGCAAGAAAACTGGGGTTTAAGGATAGGTATATGGCTGTAGATCTAGTAGGATGTAGTGGGGGTTTATTTCTGGGGTAGACTGAATGGGTGACAGTGTATAAAAGTTAGAACATTATCTTTCTGCATTGAATTACATTATGAGTTTGCTGTAACAAGAGGACCTGTGTGGGGTATTTTTGTCTATATAATTACAGAGCCAGAGGAAAGAATGTGCCAATGGGAGGTATTAATTGAGAAAAAGTAGGTCATGGGGCAATAGATGGTTTATGGGGGGGACTGGAATGATATTAGGGGAGTAAGGAGAAGAAGGGGGGAAGAAAACGAATGGAAAGAAGCTATGAGGGTTTCCAAAACGTCATCTTCAGGATGGGTATGGAGGAAATAAGGTTTACAGGGAGAGAATGGACGTGGGCCAACAATAGGTTAGGGGAAGGATATATTGAGGAGAGGTTAGACTGAATTTTTGGGTTGACAGACTGGCTATTAGAACATCCACAGGCTCTAGTTACTCACATTGAAAGGCACTCTTCAGATCATTAACAGTAAAGAAGAAAAATCAAGTTCTCTTTTGATAGAAGATGGCTGAAAAAAGATGGTTTGAATGAGACAATAGCTAAGACATGGGGAACACACTTTGAAGGATCTCCTATGTATAAAATGGCCTTTAAAATAAAGTTGTGCAGAATGGAATTATTGAAATGGAGTAGAGGGCAAGCTCTGAATTCTGAAAAAGGCCATTAGAAGTAATACTCAAGAGAGGAATATGATGAAGCAACAGGGGGGTGATAGGGACTGGCACAAGTGGGAAGAGCTAAAACAAAAATTAGATGAGGCATACAAAGAAGAGGAATTATACTGGCATCAAAAAAGCAGGAACCAATGGTTGAAGGAGGGGAATAAAAATACGAAGTTTTTCCAAGCTTCAACAATACAAGGAAGGAAGTATAATAGAATAAAAAAGATTGAGAAGTCAGGAGGAGGATGGTGTGAGACTGGGGAAGAGGTGGGAGAGGAGACTCAGAATTTCTATAAGAAATTGTTTACATCAAAGGATAGGCCAGGATGGCAAGCATTGCTAGAAGGATTCCCTGCTACTATCACAGAAAGGATGAATTCACCTGTAACGCCCCAACTCTCGGGTCTGTCCCGATAACTATTTGGGTGTTCGTTCTCGTTGAACCCAAAATGGTTAACCCAAATTATTTAGTAGACCAGGTAGCTGGTTTATATACTGATCCTCCCACCCATCATCCACCGATGTGGGGATTTTGTTCCACCTACTTGCTTGACGTGCAAGCTTCTGGGGCATCACACTCGACCTCCCTTTGGATCCTTGCGTCCTTGCAAGACCCACAAGAACGCTCATTTGGGCCTAGGCTCCCCTAGGACGGAATTCTAGAGGTGTCTCCCGTACATAAAACACTTGTCTCAACTGTAGGCTCAGAGGTGTCGGTGCACTTGTCCCATTAGTGAGCTTAGAGGTGTGCCCGCATGTAGCACTTAGCTTCCAGTACTAGGTCGGCTCTGATACCAATTGTAACGCCCCAGCTGTCGGGTCTGTCCCAATAACTATTTGGGTGTTTGTCCTCGCTGCACCCAAAATGGTTAACCCAAATTATTTAGTAGCTGGTTTATATACTGATCCTGTCACCCATCATCCACCAATGTGGGATTTTGTTCCACCTACTTGCTTGACGTATAAGCTTCTGGGACATCACACCACCTTGATACGTCCAGTTCGAGAAGCTGAGGTCAAGAGTGTCGTGTTTAGCATGAATCCTAACAAAGCCCCTGGATTGGATAGTATGACACGACTTTTTTTTCAAACTTTTTGGTTTATCGTTAAAGATGAAATTTGTGATGCTGCCAAGAGTTTTCTGTTCTTTTTTTTCTTTGCACTTGTTTTGTTTATTCTTTTTTTGGATGATCAATTTGGTATGTCGAACAAAGAAAATACTTGTGAACTTTTAGATGAGTCGATAAAGAACAATATTTTGGGATGTGTAAGTATATGGATAGATTCGGTAGACTATCTCGGCAATCGTTTACTGCCTGAATCCTTCTAGCTGAAATTAGGGGCAACAATGATACATTGTAATAATGTCTGATTTCTTGTCCCTGATTTAGTATTTGCTTATATCATTCATCTCCATTATCTTCCCGTCATTAAAGGTTGAGTTGTCCTATTATATGATCCAATCGATCAAGGAGGTCCTTTTTTCTTTAACGAAGATGTCACTTGTCACTACATGAAGTACGAGATTACTCAGAAGCTCGTTATGCGTGGGAGATCTTAGTACCACAGGAAAGGAAAGAATCCTTTTTTCAGATGGCTGAGGGGGGATGGGTGAGGACTAATTTAGCTGATAAGGACACTAGTTGTCGAAACATCTTTACAGCAACCTGCTGGACCATATGGAATGCAAGGTACGATTTTGTGTTTAATGGCATGGAATCCTCCACAGAACAATTTCTTAGGCAAGCAACAATGAAGGCGACAGAGATCAGCAGCAGTAACATGTTGCTTAAGTGGCAAAATAACAAACCACTAAGGGAGGATGTGAGTGGATGGTCTCCGCCACTAGAGGGATGGCTGAAATTTAACTGCAATGCGACGGTATGCCAAGAGACCCAAGAAGCGGCAATAGCAGGGATAATCAGGGATAGTCAGGGGAGATTTTTGAAGGTCTTTCAGGAAAGAATTGCCCTTTGCTCAGTAGAAAGAGCATAATTGAAAGCAATTTTACAAAGTATAAAAATTGCTAAACAGCTTGGTCACTCGAAGGTAATTTTTGAGTCTGACTCATTGAAAGCTGTAGAGAGGATTCAAAGCTTTACCACGGAAGCTCAGGTGGACTCTTGGTTGGATGAAGTCATCATCCTTTTGGAAAGGGAGTTTGGAGTAGAATTTCCTTCTGAGAAAGTAACTTTTGTGCTGATTCGCTCGCCAAATCGGCTTTAGAACTTAGATTAGAAGATGGACTCTTGTTTTGTGATAGATTTCCAAGTAGTATTAGATTGTTAGTGCAAGAAGATGCGGTAGGCATCTCACGTGTAATATAGTTTCCTTTTCAGTTGGTTCTTCTATTTCACCAGAAAAAAAAAAGATGTCACTTGTCAGGTAATAGTGATCAAGGGTTCTATGTCTTTATTATCCATTTAACCTGTGAATGCTTGTTTAAAGCCAAAAGAACCTTTTTCAAACAACTAGTTTGTTTGTAGTCACGCAACAGTTTGTATTTTAATTCTCCTACAACTAAAGATGAAAATTTTTATTTCAATTTCCACTACTAATTCTCCTGGATACCTACAGTTTTTGCTATACAAAATTCTACTCAATTTGAATTTAGTAACATTATTGAATCTTTTCCAATCTAAGGCATTGCGTTGCTATCATGGAGAAAATAATATCAAGGGGAGAATTGTTCCACAAAATGAGTGGCATAAATAATTTTGCAAAGCATGCCACCGAAGGAGCAAAAAGATAGTTTTAGAAGATGGAAATTAGCAAAGGGCACCACTTCTTAAGATCATCTTATGAACCGCGCTCAGCAGAAAAGAGTTATTTACATGGTAGAACGAACTAAGCTTAACTGCATAACTTCCATGACTTACGGAGTTCTAAGATTATAACAACCAAAAGACAACCATAGTTTCTAGATATTTTAACTTCCGGGAGTGACCTGAAACATGCCACCACCAAAGATGAACTAACATCGCTCAGCTTAATCAACTTCCTCAATCTTAGGACCTGCACCAGAACCGCTACCACATCCATCTGAAGGCATATAGTCATCCATCCCTCCACGCATATTAGCGCCTTCAACTCCTTGGAACATTTTAGCAATGATGTGATTTCAGATGCTCTCCAGCTCTTTCATCTTGTCATCAAACTCTTCAGCCTCCGCAAGCTGGTTTCCACCCAACCATTGAATAGCAGATTCTACGTCATCCTCAATCTTCTTCTTGTCATTTTCAGCAAGCTTGGAACTATCTTCTAGTCCTTAATGGTGTTCCTCATGTTGTATGCGTAATCTCAAGGGAATTCTTGGCTTTGACTTTCTTCTTATGCTCCTCATCTTCAGCTTTGTATTTCAGGCTAGTTGTTTTGTCTCCAACAGATACATTGAGAATACTATTAGTGTCAATGTCAAAGCACACATTAATTTGAGGTACACCTCTAGAAGATGGGGAAATGCCAGGAAGTTTGAATTTCCCAAGCAAATTGTTGTCCCTTGTTCTGGTTCTTTCACCTTCATAGACTTGAAGCAAAACTCCAGGCTGATTGTCAGAGTAAGTTGAGAACACCTGCTCCTTCTTTGATGGAATGGTAGTATTTATAGGAATCAAAATCGTCATCACACCAAGACAACCAAACCGCATGCGCTGGAGAAAAACAAAGGCAAGTTGAAGTGGATAGAACCTTAAAGAGAGAAAGTGAGATGATAAGAGTATGCAACACATGCATGGTAGAGGACCGGGTTTGAAGAAAACATAAGATTCTAAAATATCATCAAGTCAAAAGGAGAAAGGATCAACAACAGCAACCACTGATTATCCAAGAAGTTCGTACTGCTTATCTGATTATTTTTACTGATTATCCAAATGTCTTGTAATGCATATCCAATCATCTTCTTTTTTTTTTTTTTCTAGAAAAGTGGTTGTCCTATGTTTTCATACCGATTATCCAACTAACTAGTTTGCAATGTTTCTCCAAATTTTTTTTCCTTTTCTATTTTTCTTGGATATCATTGTCCGTATTTTTTAAACTGATTATCCAACCAATTTGTACTGCTTATTCGATCATTTTTTCTACTTGTCCAAATCGCGGCGCTGGTGGCTATCCATTGGTGGTGTTCTAGTCTTTATCCAATGCCTTTGAATGTACCTATTTCCATCAGTAAAAATATGAGAAAGAATTTGAATTAGGCCACTTATCCGCCGGTTATCTAGTGGTTATCCAACGTGTTTGTAATGGTTGTCCAACACGATACTTTCTGCATTTCTGCCCATTAGAATTTATTCATTTTTAAGTTTGAAAAAAATATTCCATATGGATCTCGTTGGATAGATCTTGACGGGTACTATAAATTTCGTATGTAACACATTTTCTAATTCTTCACGGAGAGGGAAATATACTCGTTTAAAGATTAGAGATATTTTTTGTAAGAGAGAGGAAAAAAATAATAGGGACTAAACTTGTAAAATATAGGAAGTTATTTAGAAAAGAGGGGAAAAAAAAAATAAGAACTAGTAATGCAAAAAATAGGAGGGGGTGCACCATGCTCCCGGGTACACCCAAGATAGACTCGTAGGGAATCGGTAATTTTCTAATCTCAATATGATTAGGTTTATCCGGCCATCACCCCAAGATTAGGCTGCGAAGAAGACAACTGCGAAGGTGGCATCGGTGATGACCGACAAGGCAGAGATGGTGAAGTCGCCGGCAAAGTGGTCGTCGGTGAGGGGAAAGAACGGCCATCTGCGAAGATTTGGTTGGAAAAGCGACAAGGGATGAGGGTCGACCGACTTTTGTGGTTAATTGGGGTACAACGACGTCGTTTTGATGTTCAAGGCGTAAATTTGTTATTTTCGGGAATATCCAAAACGGTGTCGTTTTGAGGTTGAAGGTTTAATTTTTAAAATTTTTGAAGAATTTGTGTTTATTTATTGTCTGTTTTACCCCTTTTTAAAATCGTTGATGTTATTAGGAGTTTCATAACTGATCAAAATATTGGAATATAAATTGGAATATAATTGAAGGTGGTTCTTTTATGAGTAATCTGCTCAAAAGGTCCTTTACATTTGGTAAAAAAATGTAATTTAGTCCTTTACATTAAAAACTCTTTCATTTGGTCTATTACAATTGTCTTTTCAGCTAATTTGGTCCTTTTTATTTTTTTTGGCCTTTAGATTTGTGGGTTCTTGGACTAACCAATTCTTGGTCAATGCAACAGGGGCATTTTCGATAACTTACAAATCTCAAATTTTCAAAATATGTTAAAAATAAAAAATATATTAAAATAATACTAAATATATTATATTACTTTATAATTTATTATTTAGTAACAAAAAATTAAAAAATTCAAAATTCAAATATAATATTATTAAAAAATTAAAAAAATTTAAAAATCCAAAATCTAATTTTTTTTTACCCGTCTGTCCCAATTGAAATCTTTTACCCTTGAATTATTCTGTTTTTTTTTTATCATACAGGGTCCATAACTAATTTTTTTCTTTACCTTTATTCAATATTTTTTTTTCGTAAGTTATTTTGGTATAACGAAAAAAATACTGAATAAGGGTAAATTAAAAAATTAAATATGGGCCCCACATGATAAACATGTTTTAAATCAAATCTCAAACTCAAACTAAAAACTAAATCAAAAACTAAAATATACCATTGTCTATATAAGCCCTCTCTTTTTATCATGTGGGGTTCACATATAATTTTTTTCTTTACCCTTATTCAGAACGCGAATAAAAAATACTGAATAAGGGTAAAGAAAAAAATTATATGTGGGTCTCATATGATAAAAATAGAATAATTCAAAGGAAAAAATTTCGATTGGGTCGACAGGTTAAAGAAAATAAATCAGATTTTGGATTTTTTCAATAATATTATATTTGAATTTTGAATTTTTAAATTTTTTTCTTATTTAATAATAAATTTTAAATTAATATAATAAGTTTAGTATTATAAATTAATTTATTCTTAATATATCTACACCACCATCGGACTACCTCTACCGCCGCTGCCGTCGCCGGAGCGCCCACAGCCGTCACTGACCGGCAGGCCGAATTCCGTCGCCAGAATCCGGGCGGCCGGCGGTGGTCCGACGGTGGCAGTGGGCGGTAGCCCACGGGTAAAAAGTAAATCAGATTTTGATTTTTTTATTTTTCAATTTTTTAATTTTTAACAATGTTACTTTTGAATTTTGAATTTTTTTCTTTTTTAATAATAAATTATAAATTAATATAATAAGTTTAGTAATATATTAATATATTTTTTATTTTAAACATATTTTAAAAATCTGAAATTTTTAAGTTACCGAAAATGCCCCAATTGAGTTGACCAAGAATTGGTCAGCCCAAGAACCCACAAATGTAAAAGGCCAAAAAAAATAAAAATGACCAAATTAATTGAAAAGACAAATATAATGAACCAAATGTGTGAGTTTTTAATGTAAATGATCAAATTAAGTTTTCTGCCAACTATAAAGGACCTTTTGAGCAAATTACTCTTCTTTTATAAGTATCGAAAGAATAAAATTGTACAGAGATCTGAAAAGTTCAAAAGTACAGATTTCCCTCCCAAAGGCCAAAACCAATAAGCTCTCTAAAAGTCAAGACCCCCTCCCCCCCAAAAAAAAATCATCATACGTTTCATAAACCCTAATCCCCAAAATTTTACCTCCAAATCCTTCAATGGCGCCATATCCACCATTCCATTTCGATCATCAAAGCTCCTGCTGCTTGTAATCATCATCGCCCTATAGAATCCACAAAATCAATTTCAACACCTTCGAATCCGGCTACTGCCGAGGAGGTTTCTGGGATCATGGTGAATAATTTTCCTCGAGTATTGATTTTTCGTTCTTGGATTTCCGTGGGCGCGATATTGAGGTGATATTTGCTAAAAAACTTTGTATTGTTGGTTCTTTTTTTTTAATTATTAATTTTGTGAATCATTAAACTTTACCTTTCTTTGGATTTCGGGGTGAATTTATATCGTTTATTTTATGTTGAATGGATCTTTTAGCCTAGATGTCTTGTAAGTATGTGTTTGAGTTGATGTTCATTTGTGCATTAATTGTACCTCTGCATATAAAATGGTAATGTCAGTTTTTGTGGCTGTGGTGGTGGAGTAAAATATGGTAATCAGAGTGAAGACTCAAAAGTGGCAGCTTTAAGGGGAAAATATACCAGTGATTAGAGTATCGATTAAAGCTACTGGCTAATGCAATTTCATACCATGAAAAATGAGTTGGACCAGTGTAGGAAGAAATGATTACGTCATGATATCTTCTCTAACATGCTATGGTGTCAAGATAGGATATCCTTGAAAAGTGTTGGCTTCGTGCACGCTACATTTGTCTATGTTTAATCTCAGAATACACTTCTTTCAAATGACTATGTTTACATTAATTGTAGCTTTGTTCTGTTTTGTTTCTAGATTGATGTGGTAATTCTGAACTAGTAAAAGGGCCCATTTGAGCTACTGTTTGAGGATTACATTGCGATTCGGGATTTTTGTACTGAGCTTCTATATTACGAGGTCTTAAGATCACTCCCGAGTATAACCGGGCTCTGTTATTGATTGATGATTACTTAGCATCTGAAGTTTAGGAGGGGGTTGCTACCAAAGGGCCATCGTGATCCTTTTCTGGTTGGGCTTACAATTTCATTTTTAGTTGTATTTTAATTTTTGTTTTTTTAAATTTAGAATCCATCAGAGAAAAACTTTAACAAAAAGGTACAATGACCTCGAGTGGAGAGCTGCGTCATAGATTGCAGAGGGTTTTAGAAAGTTTAGTTAGGATGTTCTCCACGATTTAACTTTAGAGAATGTAGTTTAGGGTGCCGTGATTGGACGTTTATGTGCCATACCCAAAGGTTAGTGATCATTTCCCATGTAAACGACAATGGTTGTGCAATTATCACTACAAAAAAAAAATATATATGTTGCAAAGTTGTAATGGTTTGAGCAGGCATGCTTGTCTTTCTGTATCTCCCTCCCTCACTTTGTATAGTGTAGTGAGTTGCCTTGTTTGTTTTGTTAACTGTTTCCTGTAAGTCCATGACTTGTGAGTAAACAAATGTCAATTTAAATTAATGTTTCTAAAGTGATTCTTTTAGCGAAAGTATTTTGTCAGGATGAGTTTTTTTCTTTAGTATTGAAAAGCATGAGGGCTTATTATTAAGTTACAAATATTTAATTTATCTCAGACCGAAACTCATGATTAATTGGCGATGCTGAGAGCTCACTTGGTCAAGTGGCCCGATCATTTGCTTTCTTTCTTTCTTTTTATTTTTGAGTGTTGCTTCTTGGTCATGTTAATCACACTGTGGATGGCAACAAATTAAGACGGGGAAGCTATCGCTTTTGAATGATCCTCTTTTGGTGAAAATAAATCCTCGCAGAAGAAAGCCTTTGGGTTAAAGAAAGCACGAGCTAACTTTAACCATCAGAATTCTCCCCAGATCAAGACAGTCAAAAACAACACACAAACTGTGTTCACTATCAGGCGTTTCTAATGGTTTCGTTTGTGTGAAACGCATTCATTATGGTGCTTAGCTTATAAGGCTAACTATATCAGCAGTTGTTTGATTCAACCTGTTAAATTCTTGAGCTCTCTGTGCGGATGTTATCCACTTACTGCTTACTAATGCACAAGAAAACAAAATTGTGACTTTTATGACTCATAAATTCGCATGGAAAAGGAAATAGGAAGTCAGAAATTTCAGAGAAATACTTGGTCACTCTTCTCTGCTTGCCAAATTAGGATTCTTATAGAAGGAACCCTCCGGAAGTCTATTTTGTTTTCTGGGGTTTCCAGTAAGCTTCGTCAATTGTCAAAACAGAGTAGATGATGAGTGAAAGAGAGAAAGTGTTAATGCCACAACTCTCTGTTTGGAAGGAGTTTCTCCTTCGACTTGAATGAGAAAGTCTCTTAGGTATGCTGGTTCAGCTGCCTCTGTATCCTTCTTCTGCCTCTTTCAAACTGGTTAATCTTCTCAGCCTCAAGAAATTATCAAGAAACTCAGCAGGGAGATCAGCCTCCTCTGGAGATTCACTCGCTCGTTGTGTCTGTCTTGCCTTCGTTCTTTTAATAGGATGTAACGCCTCAAACTACAAACAACAATCTCATTAGAGTTTCTCTCTAGTAACTGTCAGGTCTAGTGCCATAAGAAATTAATTTGTTTTTATGCTTTACCTCATATGAGACCCATTCCTTCTGTCCTGTTGTCAATTAGTCTATTCTCATTTTCGTAACTTTTGTTTGCTGATTATCTCGATTTACCTTCCATATGCAAACCATTCCCTCTCAAGTCTCACCTCCGCCCTTCCAAAAGCATCATAAAGCAGCCACAGTTCTTATTACTTAGCTCAACATTTAATGCTCGTTTCAGATGGTGGTACATATAGACAGAACATCTTTTAGGTTTTTTTCAGACTAGGATGAAGGTGTTAACATCTTTCTTATGCATTCTAATGGAGCGATGGCTTTCTTGCAAGTTCAGTCGCATGTGTTCTGAGGGCCAATGCCTTCTTGTTTATGCCGTCTGGTTGAAGGTCGGAACAGGATGGTAGACTGATCCTTTCTTGATTATTATTACTTTCAGGTAGAAGCTAGAAAGTATGGAGGGGTAGTTGTTTAGGCGGATTGTTTACATGTTTTAAGTTATGAACTCTGCGGTTGAAGGTCCTCAACGCGATTAATTTCTTTTGACAAAATGCAGTGTGCTATATTAGTCATCATGCTATTTAATGTTGGAACTTGGAGGTACTGTGGTTATAGACCTCCATGATGATCAGTTTGTTTTTCTTTCACTTGCCAAGGTCGACGGTGCGGTTACTTTCTAAATTCGGCTTACCTTTTGTTATCTTCGTCTTGTAATTTCAACTAACCTTTTGTTATCCCTGTTTGACCAATGTCTGCATAAACTGTGTTTTTTTTTCCTTTGTTCGCGCCTGCATTGCTTCTTTATCTACAACATCTTCCATTGCTTTTTTGACTGGGACTGCATAATTGTCTTGTCAGTTGATGCTCTGTCGTGATCTGAGTAATTTTGTGGTCTTGTTTATGAGGATATTTGTGATTATTACACCTTCAGAATTCAGAGAGTACAATTTTTCTTCTGTTCATCTGTATGATCATATTATTTAGTACTTCATCTGTTCCTAACATGCGCACTAAAGCCTTTGGTTCATTTTAAGTGTGACAATATCTTTGAAAACACTTGCCATTTAGGAAGTGATTGACATAGGTTTGAAATCATTGTAGGTCAACTTGCATTTACTCATGCCGTTTCTCCAAGGGTTTCTTTAACCAGCATGGTTGGAGGAAACTGTGAATGCGTGTAGCTATCCACAAAAACCAAACTGTTGATTCCAGCAAGAAGATAAATATATTTCGCTACCATGACCTGTGATTGGTGGAATACCTCTTGCGAAGATTGTGACGAGATATTTGAATGATTACACTAATTGCTTCGTTCACTTTGATGGCTCAGCCATGATAGTGACAGTAAACTGCAGAATCACTGGGTTACAAATACTTGTTCTAGTTGAAAGTTTATAGGCATAGCAAAGCCTGCATGGTGCGGCTCATTTTTGTAGTTAGCTCTCTTGGGAAAATAGAGTAAATATGGACTCCTTTGCGGAGGTACTTTTTCCTTAACATATGTAATAGCAATTTGGTTACCTCTTGAGGGTATGATATTTGTAGCACATTTTAATGATTTGTACAAAATTCTTGTTAATCTAGAATTTGATTCTCGCATTATTTCCTTCTTAATCAACATTCTTTTGGAAAATCTTACAGGGCACCGTGCTTCACACGTGTAGCTCAACTGAGTTTGCTGTTAGGTTTGTGTAACTCAAAGGCTCTGTAAAAGATGGAAACCAAAAAGAACATTTTCTTTGTTGATGCTGCACCCCCTTCCTTTAGTCCAGTATTCTAATATTCAAAACAAATTCAATAATGGGAACTTCATGACACCAAATTTCTTCCACCATCCGCTTTAGCAGGAAACAGGTCTGCAACAAACCTCAATCAAGACCTGGAATCTTATTTAACCTGTGAATCTAAAATTGCAGAAGCACTTACACCTGAGAGGTCAAGAAGATTCTAAGACTAGCAGTGGGTTCAATCATTTGAAGGTGGTAAGAGTTACTCCATACCTTCATTCGTCCTGATTGTTCTTCATCCTCTGCAGGGTCCTAAGTATCATCACTTAAGTGAAAAGCCTGTATGCATCACATCTTGATGTCAAACGTTTCTTTGATCATTGCTGTGATGAATTAAAAACTTATTTTCATTCGCCAAATGCTTTTTTCAGAACCTATTTGCTTTCTGCAAAGGGAAACATCATTTGAAATTCTGACTGTAATCGGAGGCATGCACTAAGTGCCAGAGAAAATGTGTAAAAGTTCACCAACTGGTGCAACTATGAACCAATCTTCATGTAAACAATATACATGTGAATAAACGTTGCTATAAGCATATTACAAAATCACTCTCGATATCCCTCTAGCCCTAATCACAGGGATCAAAAACACTCATAATTTCCGATTTTTGCTAGTTTGACTAATTTACTTTGAAGATCTAAGTTCCTTCAACTTTTTGCAAAATACTCTGATGATTGATTGGGCTATGGATGCACACTTAAAAACTAAAATTTCCTTGATAACAAAATCCACATGTACTTCTCGGACCAATGAACACTAATCTAAGTTGTTTCCATTTTCGTCCTCTCCATCTTCATCCTCTTCCTCATCCTCATCTTCATTCTCTTCGTCATCCTCATCTTCATCTTCATCCTCTTCGTCGTCCTCATCTTCATTCTCTTCGTCATCCTCATCTTCATCTTCATCCTCTGCGTCGTCCTCATCTTCATCCCCATAGCCTTCTCCAACTTCGACCACATCATCATTGTGTTCCACGTCTTGAAGAACCAGTTCAGGCTCTTCTCTTCCATCTTCTTCGCCTCCATCTTGGAGGCTACCTTCAAACAGATGATCCTCAATTTCGTTTGGTACTCCTAAAGTTCTCGCGGCTATTGCATGCATAGGAGATATTATCTACAGGTAAGATATTTGTTGTGAGGAGAACCAAAGTCAGATTTTGAAGAAAACAGGACATATAATTAACAATAAAAAGTATTGTAGAGATGGGAACCAAGAAGACCACTTTCCGCACTATTTGGTTCATTTTTTTCTCTTCCTTTAAGAACATAAGCTATCAAACAAAAGAGAGGCTTTCTAAGCAAAGTAAATTAAAAAAATCACTGCAACAACTAGATCAGCTACTACAGAAGGCGAAAAAATGGTGCAAATGAAGCATAAATTTCAGTTCCTTCCTACCAATATTGCACTAGAAAAAAGGGTGCGAAAGTAGAACTTTTCACCCTCTCTTTCATCATAATCAAGTCATTTCAACATTTTGTGCAATTAGATACATGACAGAAAAGTATAAGCAGAGGAATTTTTTTTTTTAATGATGAAAAAATAAAAAACTATCAGAAAGTAATGATATTAATCTGAGTTCCAAAAATAAGCATGAGTCCTGCTATAAGAAATGCAAGTAGTAAGTATATGAGCAGAAAAGTTGTGCACAAATGAAAAATCTAAGTGGATTAGGAGCAAACTAATCTAGAGGATTATAGTAAGAACTTACAATATGGTGAAGTGACACCAAAGAAGGATGAAATCCAGTCATCGTCACAACACCATCACCAATAGTATCATCAAGGTTGCGCCACATCAACCTTCGAGCACGATTTTGTTGATTTGCTGAGCTATATAACCACCATCGTCTCTGAAAACGAAATAGCATTGTCCTTGGAAACCCTCCACCAAAGATTCCACTTCGTGCACTATAAAATAAGGGGTCTTGTACACGAGAAAACATGGGCACAGTGAAACTGAATTCCCATGATGAAGGGTCTCCATATCTTGTCATCCGCCATACATTCAGATTTGTATGACGGTCATAACTTATGATGGATAAGTATCCATCTATAGTCGTTAGAGCTAGATCTCTGAACATGCGATTAGAAAACAAAGGAGCTTTCACAATTTTATACCTCTCTAGGTCCAAGTTGAAGACAATCACTCTTGTCTTTGTATGACTAAAGTTAGTACCTAACCAGTGAAGATTCCCATTAAGAAAGATGCTGTGAGTGGCTTGAACTCCAAAGAAATACCTCTTAACAGAAGGGGGCATTATTTGTCTAGTCCACTGATTAGTTCCAACTGTCAAAACCATTGTCCATGCATTACATTCCTCTTCATCATTCAAATTGGCATCAAGTCTAAATACTTTGAATTGTCTCCCCCTCGCACTATATCCGAACCCTAAAGGTATTCTAAAGAAAGGAAGAAACATCGGATCCATTGGTGTCAGGTTGAGAACTTGATTATAGCGGAGGCATTCATTTGTAGTTGGATTGTAGAAGTATAGTCTCCCTGCTTCTGGGAAGACAATGGAATGGATACAAGTCACTCCGGCACATGTTCCAACGACAGAATTCAAATTCAAGGTTTCAGGAAACAAACCAGTACTAAGTTGGACCCTATGATCTGCCCTCAACTCTAAGATGTCACGACCTCTTGGCCTATCATTAGCATTAAATGCCAATGTATAAAATTGAGATTTATGGGATTCTAGAACAAGTCTTGCCAGTTCAACGAGATATACATCCCCTTGGTTGATCAGGATAGGTAGGACTTCTCTCAAGTGGTAAAATGGGAGGCTAGAAATTATATTTACCCCTAAACTGTGCCCAAATCTATGGTCAGTACACCATTGGAGGATAAATTGAGGGATGGTAAGGGACCCTAAAAACAGAGAAAAAGGAATGCAAAAATATCATGATCCGAAGGAATAATAATAGTTACATATAAGACTAGGAAATCGAGCAAATTAGTAAGGGATAATCACATAGGCCTACTGTAATCACGTGTGCAGTGTGCTATATATCCTACAAAAAAAGGGAATGTGGACCAAAAAAAGGGGGAAAAAAAGAAAGATAATCCATCTTGAAATCACCTACCAATAATTAACAACCAATCTGTGGACTCTAACAATACGCTTGGTAAAACTGTGAGAAGGATTGATAATAATAATAATAAATAAAAATAAAAAACGCAGAGAAAATTTGATGGAAAAATTTAATTTAATATATGCCTATAATCTACCGGCAAAGTCTTTTGCTCATTTTGCACAAACTAAGGTCAGAGTTTTGCATGGACAAAAGAGACACTGATCTTGTTTGCTTCTTTTAGATGATGAGTGTGGATGGTCATTAATTGATGTCCAGAAATAGGGAAGGAATTAACTGAAACATAAATGCCAATAATTATGAGGGTTTCTAATGGGAAATTTATTGAAGATGAGAGGTGCCGAAAATTGATTAAATCAAGTATAGGTAGATCCATACAAAAAGCTGGGGCCCTTTGGATTCTTAGTATGAAGAAAAATACGGGGGCACCTAATTAAATGTGTATTTTGCAATTCATTTAAAAGGGGAGACAAGTTATACAAGCTCAAGGGACAAGAACAGGGCAGAAGAAGCCCGTTATCCTTTGGTTCTACAACAGAAACAACTAGATTCTGCGGACACTAGATTATGCTCTATGCATCATAACGGGTGGGTGAAGAAATTAGGAAAAAAAATAAAAAAATCCAGATGTGGGTTTACAAAATTATAATCCCATTTTGAATCTCATTCATCCAAGAAAACCAAAAACTTCAAAAGAAATAATGAAGAACACAAAGTGAGTGAGTACCAACTGTGGGACGCAACTTCTTGGGGTCATCTTTATCCATGACCGACCTTCGATGATGATTGATGAATATTTCCAGATCTATATTCAACCTGGGGGGGAATGAAAGGGTTAATGAGTAACTCTAGGTGGAGATAGAAGAAAATGTGGGGAAGAAGGAGACGGAAAGAAGGAAGAGAGAAGTACCTCCTGGCTGCTGCCTGAGAAACGAGATGAAACCCCCCTTGTTCGTTAGATGATTAATCATACATAGTGAAGAAGCTTTATGTTGTTTTTACTCATTTTATTAGGTTAAGGAAGTGTTCAATGGTTAACAAAGCAAGTAACTTGGATTCTGGGTAGAGAGGAAAACACTCTAATCATCACCACTTAATCAAAAGCACCATAAACTTCCTAATCTCATTTAAATTACGTAGTTGTTGTTATTTCACGATCTAAGCTCAAAAGGAAACCTTTGTGGCCCCTTGGATATACTTGCTACTTTTGAATCTATCCGTTCATTTGTTTCAACCTTAGGTTATTACCCTTTTTTTTCCCCTTCTAGTATAATCCGTCAATGTGTGCACTCCTTTCTTTCACTAGTAATAATTTTTTTATTTTTTATTTTTGAAAAAGACTAGTAATAAGTTATATAGGAGAAAAACAAACAGGAGCGAAAACCAAACCAGTTTAATTACATTCGGTCTTGTATTGTAAATTTCTGTTACGTACCATCATCTCTTTCTACATTTCTTATTACAGTCAACCTCCAAGTGAAAAATACTTCTATTGTTAGTATTCATTGTAACGTAAATATATATATTAGAGTTTTTTCAAAACAAAAAACAATATTGAACAGGCAGAACTTTTACCTTGAACCGGAAACAACACTTAATTGACGTTGAAGTCTTCTCGATTGTTTGATGTAATAGTTGCCTTCCCTCATCACATTTCTTCCATCATGAGTTCAACACACATAATTTCTTTAAAAGATTATGGAGGATGAATTTTAAAGTCTCCCATCGATGAGCTGCTCTCCTGATGGGAGATTGGGGGCCTGTGCGTTTGATGGGATAAATTATGGACTCTGTACGTAAAGTGAGATCTCCGGATTATAAATGCATGGAAGGAACCAAATTTTTTTTTTATGACATCTATACTTTGAATTGATTGTTCAATTTCAATTTTTTTTTTCTTACTAAAAACTCAAAGAGAATAATTGTTTTGGATTCTTAGTACTACTAATATAGATGTCAAATCATGCCCCAAGTTTTTTTTTTTTTTTTTGGCTGCAAATAGCTAGGAAGATTAGTAGGCTGTTTTTACAGTTGATTTGCCATGCAAACGTAAGCAGTGACTAATTGGCTAAGCACCGTGCGATCAAATCACACCCTTTGGTGTATAGAGAAGTGTACCCTACATTTATAGACATGACTAATTCTTAAAAAGTTCACGAGACGCGATGCAGAAATCCTCTTGATTTTGATTTGACAAGTTTGCGTGACAACAACAATACTTAGTTTAATTTTTTCTTTTTCTTTTTTTAACCCATCCCCGACGCTAATTAACTACAGGCATATTACGTCACTAGCTGACACAATTGTTTTGATTATAACCGAAATTATAGTATCGCAAAATACTCTCGGCTCGAAATCTGGTTTAATACTAGTATAATTTCCTCATCTATATGTATATATGTTTGAATGAAAATATGATTATCACCGAATGACTGTTTCGGTGTTTCCTATTATTTGCATGTAGGGTTGAAGGATTTGGGGTAATTTTACTACTCCCTCTGTCCAAAAATTATGGTCCACTTTGAGTTTTCATTTTTAGTTTAATTTATACTAAAAATGAAAATCCAAACTGGACAATAATTATGGGACAGAGGGATACCTTTTATCCCAGCATTACACAAATTCATTTCTATCCCCCGCCCATACAAACAATTAAGATCTGAACGATTAAGGCAGAAACTTAGAAACCCAGATCACTAAGACGCAAGGCTACTTTTTAATTAGGGTAAGAAAGTAGTTTCATTCATGGACGATGGAAGTCCTCCAACTGTGATTGACTGAAGACCATACGAGAATAAAAGACGAATTAATACATTTTGACATCACTATTCTTAACCAAAACCGCAAACTCGAATACATTATGCCCAAAAAATCCATAACGAATGGGTGAAATGGAGCAGAGAATGGATATGTCCTAGTCATTAAGGTCTGCGGTACGACTTCCAAAGCTGTTAGGATAGTGTTAATCGCATCTCGCAAAAATTTGTCTTAAGTTTGAGTCGACAGCAAGTAGAAGAGCCTCCATTAGTGTTAGGATTCAGCATTTTCAAAGCTAATGAGTAAAAACATCAAAACTCAGACTCCCCGTCCCAAAAGGGCCAAAACTAATGAGTAATGGAAGAGTATTTGCACTAGCTAGTGAACCTTGGTGATTGATTGCACTTTTTTGCACACGCGAAAAATCCACAGATGCGCGCTCTTTATGGTCAATATTCCTCGTTACAATTCCAAATAGGGAAAACCCACTACTCCACACGTTTAGGAAATATGCCTACATATTATTCTTCCTTCCGTCCAGAAAAGTAATTTACATTGCAATTGCCAAATTATACTGTTTTAGCACAATTTCCCGATTATAAGACGATCTGTTGTTTAGGAACAGTGGAAATGTATATCACAACTATTTCTTTCATTTAATAGACTGAACATTCTATTTTTTTTTATAATCCAGTCATCAATTTCCTACTGAACCACAAAGTTAATAAACATCCAATTGAAACATAATATGTCATGTATAATGATAGGACCAGAAGTATACAAAACTGTTAAATGAATGAAAGAAAAAAAATGGTCTCATGTTCCCTTGTCTCACATGGATGGAAGAAAACACTTGAACCCAACATATATACCCTATGTGTTACTCCCCTCATCACCAATTGGTTTTGAGGTGGAACCACATGTGGACTTATATTTGGGCCTTCAAGATAGTATCAGAATAGGTTTTAATCCGCGGACCTGTGGGACTTGTGAGGCGAGGTGGACTGACCCAGATTGGGTCTTTAAATTTTAGTCAACCCACGGAAGAAATCCGAGGTTTGACTTTGAACTTTAACTGGCTCGGCAGGCGACGGTTTATCTAGGAAAATAACCGATCGCAAGATTAAAAAAAAATCAGAAAAAAAAATATAAAATTACCCGTCCAAGCCCATTGGACTTGAGATGGGCGTGTTAAATGAATGAAAGAAAGAAAATGGCCTCATGTTCCCTTGTCCCACATGAATGGAAAGAAACACTTGAACCCAATATATATACCCCATGTGCTACTCCCCTCATCACTAATTAGTTTTGAGGTGGAACCACATGTGGACTTATATTTGGGCCTTCAAGAAAAACAAATGTTTTTTAATCGTAATTACCCTAATTTGTTATAATTAATTAGATAATTTATGTAGTTTCAAATAATCATACTAAATTTTTAATTTTATCAAAAGCCTCGTTCTTCTTCATAAAAACCATGTTGTCGAAAAACTTCATCCTCTCTGACTCTCCATCACCATTGAAATTGCCCTGGCTTGATTTTTCGAGGTCGGTTCTTCATTTTTCTCCGTCCAATTATATCCTGATTATTTTAAACTTTGTAAATTATCTAACCAATTTTATTTCACTTTTTACAAAAAAAAGAGGCAAAGCCTAAACCATGAAATTAAAATATTTTGTGAATAAGAAACAGTGATCATATCATGTTCTAATCACGATTTTAGTTTTGACTTATATATCATATTTGTATATGTGTGTATACGATTGATGCATATGTATTTGTATATCCAATTGTCCCCCGTCAGATTAAAATACTTCAGACAGTTATTTCTGTTATTTTTCATTTACTAGAATTAAGCATTCTTTAATTCGTAGTGGTATGGTATTATAAATACAGAGAATATAAAAACAAAAAGATTTTTTTTTTTTTTTGACAACATGAGTCAGCAATGTGTCAATCCTTATTCTTGCTCTATAATTAAAAAGTCTTTTTGGTAATACGTTCTTTTCTTATGTTGTTATGAGTAAGGGACAATCAATAAAAAACTGAGTATATATAAAAGAAGGAAAAGCAATGGAACCGATTGCCATTGCTGCTGATCCAGCTATATATGAACTTTCTTAACAGCATCACATATAGTCACACTTGTTCCGCTTGCTATTATTTTTTTGTTTTTATATCAAGGCCATTACATTCCAACAACACAAAAACTGTCAACTCTTTGATAGCCATTATTCGTAGCAAGTATCAAGGCCATTAACGTTCCTATTTTATTTTATTTTATTTTATTTTATTTGTTTTAGATAGAGGAGGCGGACACAGTAAGTTAAGGGATAAAGCTACCGTCCTATTGACAATTTTGAGGATAAGGTCACAACCGTTTAATTTATATTAAATGAATAGAATATTTTAAAAGAAAGTTAACAGGCAACCATGTAAATCCAAGGAATTATTTACGGTCCAATTTTAATTAGCAATCTTCCTTTTCCTTTTACCGTTATGTAGGTTGCATTTTTTTTTTAAAAAAAAAATCTCTTTCTTTCTTTTCCTCTCTCGTGCCTATTTTGTTTTGTTATTCTTTTTTCTAATGTACCATTGAGTCACTATGAAGGGATTTGCTTTTTTTTTTTTAGAAGAATTCAAATTCATATGGCATCAAATTCGAGTTTGATGTTTGCAATGTTTGTAAAAATGTAACCAATGGCACGATTATATTTTTCTAGAGTCATAACAAAGGTTTAATTCTTAATTAGTTATGAAGGGTGAATTTTTCTAATTAATATAATACTAATATATCAATTATTATGCTATATTAATGATAAATATTGGTGTTCTTTTTATGTTTCAATTGTATATATTCGAACGTGCAACGACATATGCACAAATCCGTAATATTTATAAAATAGAAAATTATACCAAAGAAATAAAAGAAAAAGTTGTAAATAAACTACTAGTCATGAGTGGAATACGTAAATAATCGCTCAAGCAAAATTGTAAGGTTTTATGAACAAAATTGTAAAAAAATAAATAAATAAAACAATAAAAATTAGAAAATGATATGTATAGTAAAAGAAAATAGTGACAAAATAGTGAGTGATGTTTAGAATCATTATGATTCCTATTTTTTTGTCACTTTCTCGTTAAAATTTTATTTTTTTAAAATTACATTTTTACTTTTAATTATAAATACACATATTTAGTGAGGGTTGTGTATTTATTTTTTTATAAGTCACTATCTCATTTCACTGTAAATTGTCGATTTATCTATCATTGCTTAAAAAAATATTGTATAAGTAATAGTGTAATGTTTTATGAGCCAA